TTTTGAGGACCTTTCTGAGTCTTTGGTAAGTCTAGGGTCTGAAAGATGTGATACGCCCAATTTCAACAAGGGAAGAGGGAGATACTGTGAACCCCTCACCTAGCAGGCTGTAATTAAGTGGCACAAGGACTATAATTAAGCATGGTGGGGCTTGGTGTTAACACACCCAGATAAGCAGGGCGATTAGCTCTTGCAGAGCTCCAACCAGCCCTTAGAGAACACAGGATTCTGAGTCAGAAGTGAACTTTTGGCTCTCAGCTAATATGTGGCCTAATGTACAGCAGTTACACGTGGCAGAAATCAGAACAGGGGCTGCGGGTGTGACTCAGTGGAAGAGTGCATGCTTAGCAAGCTTGAGGTCCTGGATTCTATCCCCAGCACCCCAAAGTAAAAAAGAAAATAAGTCAGAACAGGGTGACCATTCAGTTTGGGAGTGGACAGGAAGCATGCTGGGTCACAGAGCCTCCTGGCTGAATCACAGTGGGCCTGGGAGACAAGCGGGAGGAGCTGCTTTTACAGACAGGGCCAGGAAGTGGTGGAGTTTAAGGAGCCCCAGGTTTTCTTCAGGGAAAAATGGTCTCAAACGTCTTCCCTATCTCCACAATCCAGCAGCTCAGGCCTCAAACAGTGACTGTTTATATCATTGTGCAAGCAAGAGACAGAAAGCCACGTAGGGAAAGCGGGACCTACCATCCATGTATGCCCCTGGGGACCTCATACCACAGCAAATGCCAGGTCATTGTGGCTTCTTGCCAGAGTGGACTTAACTAGTTCCCATCAGGCATGGACACCACAAAGGCAAAACCCACTCCCTCATCTGCTGCTTGTGCCTTCCGTGGGACAGGGTGCTCCAGAGGATGGGGTGCTCAGCACAGCCTTGGGTGCCTGGCCCTGACCCTCTTTCCAGATGATGCACATGGAACTCTGAATTGCCTCTCTCCCGGGGCACGGGCTGCACACTTTGATTCACATAGAAGCAAAGGGATACGAGCTTCACATTCCATGTTTCTTACTAATAAGTCAAGCACTTTGCTAGGAAAGCCACAGCTCACATCCACAAAGTGAGGTCTGAAAAACTGGTCTATGCTGGGGGTGGGGCTCAGTATAAGAGCGCGTGTGCCCCGCATGCACAAGGCCCTGGTTCAACTGCCAGTACCAAAAAGAAAAATAAGTCAGAGCAAGCAGAATTTTGGGACATTCTAAGACACCAAATTCTCCTTACCCTGCCTACTGCCTTTCTCATAGGTTAGGGTCCAGGGCCCCCAGCCTCTAGGGCACCCTTTAACCCTCGAGTCTCTCAAAGGAAATATGAGTTTCCCCCCCAGGCATGGACCCTGGGTCTAGGAAGCGTCCAAAATACCTCAAAGCCATGGAAGACAGACTGGGGTAAACTCAGTATGGTAGAGCACTGCCTAGCATGGGTGAGGCCCTGAGATTTGATGCCCAGCAAAACACACACACACACACACACACACACACACACAGACTTTTAGCTCAGACAGATCAATCTTTCCTTTCAAACTGTCTACCTCCTTTTAGGCAAAAAGGGGGCAGGGGACAACAGGCCAGCATTCCAGGCAGCTGCCAGGGCCATCCCTAGTTGCACTCGCAAATCTCCATACAGCCTGGCCACAAAAAACGATCAGGAAACCAGCAAGCAGTTTAGGTCTGAAAGTAACCTCACCCAAACACATACTGCTCGAAGAAGTGAGTTTCTGAGTTTCCATCTTGCTAGTAGGGTTTTAAATATGTACATAAACTTCCTGACTTCCCTGGAAATACTAGAGACCCCAATTCTAGATGTGCTGAGGAAGTGCGTTTCCTGGGCACTAGGGAGGTGACTTTGTACTGCTTGCTCTTCTATTGATCCTGACTTCCCCTGCCTTGTAAATAAAACCTCGTTACAAAATTCCCCCGCTTGAGACAAAACTGCTTCTGAACCTGACTCTGCTGGGTGACGACTGGAACAAGATCTGGTACGGTGGTTACCACACCACCAAGGAGAAGTCACAGACTTCAGTAGCATCACAGCCCCACAGCAGGAAACCCAGTTTCTCTTTCTGGGCTCAGGTTCCCCCTCCTCCTAGCTTCTGTTTCTCAAGTTAGACACTGTTACAAGTCTCTGAGATCCAGAATGTTTCCACTCAGGAGTTCTCAAGCTCAGCACTGCTGACCTTTTGGGGCTGGATGATTCTTGGAAGGGGAAGAGGGCTGCCAAACATCCCATGTTGTTTGGCAACATCCCTGGCCTCTACCCACTCGATGTCATTGGTACCTTCTCCCCAGATTATGACAATTCAAAATAATCTCAAACATTTCCAGATTGAGGAGAGGAAAAGAGTGAGAGTCATTCCTGCATAAGAAGCCATGACCCATACTTATACTATCTGAAAAATAGCAGATACCAAAGGACACTTAGGGTGTTCCTAAAGACCTGGGGTGGGGGTCTTAGGGGGTCTAAACACAAGCTTTAATATCTGTAAATTACCTAATTCTTAGGGAACAAGGATGTGCCATATGGAAGATACTCAGAAGCATCCCTGTAGCACTCCATCAAGTGTGATGGCCAAACATGCTCCCAGACACTGCTGATTTGGGGTTATAAAAGGGGAATACATTCATCTTAGGCCAGAAGAGTGACACCAGTCAAGACTCCTGGTTAAGAGCATGCAGCCTGGTGACACAGTGAGAACTCTATTGTGTCAGCTATCACTACGGAAGGCAAGGAATCTCTTCTTGACAGGTGACTGGATTCTGAAGGCACAGGGTAGGGTCAAAGAGATTTACTGAGAAGAAAAGAAGCAGATAGATGTATACAGCCAGATAAACAAGTGAGATGCCAGAGACTGTGGAAAATATTGCAGAAGATGGAACACAGCCAGGGTGATTCCTGAGAACACAACCTGATAATCGATTGGGAGGCTAAGACAGCTCTGTGAGGAGGCTGGGTCACCACAATAATCCTTTGGGACAGAGCTCTGGAATGTTGAAACAGTAAACTGATCCTAAACACCAGCTCACACTGAACTGTGCTTTCTAGGTTTAAAGGCACTGTCACAGATCTGAATGCGTCCCCAGGAAAGAAAAGGTTCTAGTGGTTGGCCTGAGTGGCCAGGCAGGTTCCTCTGGCAGTGTCTGTGTGGAACTGCATGGGCCACCAGTAGGGCCTGATAGCTGGAGGAGGGCAGGGCCTTCAAGACTTCCCTACATGAGGGAACAAAGGAATTCTTCCAAGATCTCTGGAGACATTGTCCACACAGGAGGATCCAGGCCAGCGAGCCACATTCTAAGGTGCTTCCATTGGGCATGTGGGGGCTAAATGCCTGCCAGATGAGGCCCAACCCACTTAATTCCACCCTGCTAGGTTAAAGGGGCAGTACTCTCTGCAACAATCTTAAAACTCCTCTGGAATAAATCTCGCTTCCTCTAGGGTTTGGCTATCATCTGCTATCTAGAGATAGACCCCAAATATCTTCATCCTTAGACAACCACTGGGGTCCTTATATTTTCCTTCCAAAGGCAAAAGATACCAGCCACACATTACTGGGAACTCATGTCTCTTCCCTTTCATTGGGCCTTTCCAAATTACAGGTAGAGCTCTGTTTGCCTAAGGTCATTGTTGGTTCTTCTGTGGAACCTGTACACATGAACTCCACACCCAAGATCTTTAACCTACAATCCATGGATCAATAGGAATCAAGGCATCTAGAGTTTCTTGGATCTGAAACTGTACACTGAATTTTACACTTGCCTAGTTTTCTTGGATCCACAGCTTTCGCCAGATTTACAAGCAGTAGGTCTTAAACTTTTCAAAAAATCTGTTTCTATCACATGTAAAATACGTTTGGTGTTTGATTGAGCATTCTGTTTCTGGGAATTTATCCTATAAAACCAAACCCACCTGTGAGTAGAGATAGTCACAGGTTACTCACTGTGGTACTTTTTGTAGTAGTAAGTTACTGGAAATCATATAGACATCTATTAATAGACAACTGATTAAAGAAACTGTGGTCAACTTAGTGCAATGGAATACCATGTGCCCACTAGAAAGATCCAAACTGGGTGCTGTGGCTCCTGAGTTGTTCCAGCTACTTGGGAGTCTAATATAGGAGGATCACTTGAGCCCAAGAATTTGAGGCCAGACTGGGCACCATAGAGAGATCTCCCTCTGGGGGGCAGGAGGAATTCCAAGAAACTCCAGGAATATGTTTTAGTGCAGAAGTTGCGGGGAGGGCTTCTGCTCCTTGAAGACACTGGGTAAGGTCTGAAGACATTTTTGGTTGTCAAGACTGAGGGTGCTCCTGGCATGGGACTGGTGGAGGCCAGGGATGCTCCACCACACCCTGCAGTACCCAGGACAGCCCCACCCCGGAAAACAATCTGTCCCCAAATGTCAACAACGCCAGGGTAGAGAAATTTTCTCTCCAAGACACATTTAACAAAACACAGGGTCGGGCAGAGTATAGGCTATCTATCACTCTGTGTGCTTTGCTTTTACAGGGAAGGTGGACACGTATTTTGGGGAAGAAACATGAGAATTTCCCCGTTTCTGGGGAGAGAGGTTGGCTGCCTGAAGGACGGAGTCGCCTTTCATTCTACCCTTTCAACTTGGGCCGTGTCCATCAAGAGGATTTTGGAAGCAACTCTCTAGATGCAAATTCCCCCTGCCCCTGGGCTCTCTGGCAGGAGTCCTGGGTCCACAGCCTCGCGACTTTGTTTCTTCGCCTTCTCTGCCCGCGTCGCGCCTTAGAGGGGGGCAGGAGGGCGCGGGGTCCACGTCCCGGCCAGCCTCTGGGAGCATCTCGCCCCGGCGGGGCTCTGCCGGCCCTTCCCAGAGACGGAGCTCCGGGGTGGCCCCGTCGGTCCCCGGCGCTGCCCTCCCAGAGCGGAACACGTGCCAACGCCGCCCCGCCGTCGCCGGCGACCCCGCCCGAGCCGAAGCCGGGCCGGGCCCGCCGCTCGGCCGCCCAAGCCCCCGCCTCGGGCCGGGCCCCGCTCACCTGGCTCGCCTTGTAGAACTGTTTCTTCAGCCCCGCCACCGACATGCTGCCTCCCGCCGTCGGGCCTCCCGCCCGGACCGAGCGAACCGCAGGCCCCGCACAGATCACAGGATCCCGGGCGCCGCCGACCCCTCGCGTGCCTCCGCGGGCCCCGTCGGCGCCGCCCCCGCCGCCCGCTGGCCAGCTCCGCGCCCGCTCCGGCGCCGCCTCAGCCGCTTGCGCGCCCGCGCGGCCAGGATATTACATGGCAACCGCACACTTCCGGTGCCGGCCCCGCGCGCTCCCGGCCCCGTCTGCGCACGCGCGCCCCCTGCCGGCCCCATAGCGCACGCGCACTTCTCCTGGGCGAGTGAAGCGAGCGGGAGAGCCTCCTCCGCCAACGAGTAACGCCGGCCGAGCCTAGAGAGGCGATGGAGGCCGCAGCGCCCCCGGAGTCCCGACGGCGGAACCAGAGTCCTGAAGATCTCCTCTTGGGAAAGGCGCACAGTCCTGAAGATCTCCACTTGGGAATGCCAACGGGCTTCTCCAGATGCCTGTCTGCTCACCTCAAGGAGACCCAGTTCTCTCTGTATTCAGGGCCCATCCCCGCCCTGTCGCGCGTCCGTCTGTTCAAATTCCACGCCATTTGGTATTATTGCCCTGATCATAGCTGTCCACTAACCTTCTCGCTGGCCGTCCACTTCCAGGTTCTCTCCTGAAGTGCATTCCACGCCAGGCAATCAGAAGGATACGTTCAAAATTCAATTCAGACCATCCGTCTTCTGCTTAAAGTCCACGCACTAGCCATGGGATACACTCCAGCTTCCTACAAACCCTGTAGAGTTTGGACCGGCCCATTCTTCCGCTCTCTGCTCTCTTCTTTAATTAATGATCACTGTCGCCCACTCGGCCCTGTCACCCGTCTTCGGCGCTGGGGACGGAGACCAGGGCCTCGCATAGGTTAGGCAAGTGCTGTACCACTGAGCCACATCCCCAGATCGCCTATGGGTTGGTGCTCACAGTTTTAGAGGTCTCAATCCATAGACTGTCAGCTCCATTGCTCTGGACCCAAGATGAGGCAGAACATCATCACATCTTGGCGGAAAAGTGTGATGGCCGAAAGAACATGGCCAAAAGAAACGGAGAGAAATCGGCTCATAAGGACAAAATAGAAACCCCAATGTCACACCCACAGTGACCCACCTCCTCCAGCCACACCCTACCTGTCGGCAGGTAGGGTTAAGTAATTCAGTTAATCCATTCAAGTGGATTCACGCACCTGTTAGTTTAAGGCTCTCATAACCCAATCATTTCACCTCTGAATACTTTTGTATTCTCACACATAAGCTTTTGGAGGACAGCTCAAGTCTGAAGCATAACAAGGACTCTACTGGGAATGTCACCTCCTCCAGGAAGCCTCCCCAGATAGATGATCTTTTTTTAAAAAAAATTTAGTTGTAGATGGACAAATAAACAAATATTTATTTATTTATTTATTTATTTATTTATTTATGTGGTGCTGAGAATAGAACTCAGTGTCTCAATCGTGTGAGGCAAATGCTCTACCATTGAGCCACAACCCCAGGCCCAGATAGATGATCTTCATTGATATTGATTCTCACGTCAACTGTTATTGATAACAATGTATTGAATGAATTGGAAATTAATAATGAATTGTAGTGAATAAATGATTCTAAAAAGAAGAACAAGAAAATGACACAACCAAGGTACTTGGAACTTCAGTGTTGAAGTTGTTGACAGGTTTGAGTGATTTTTTTGTACCTGAAAATTTTCACATGCCTCAAGAGAAGATTCTGGATTAGATCAGAGGGTTGCTTCAGAATACATATGCCCCAACTTCACTCCCCAAGATAATGATGAGGCTACTATGAATACTTTTTAGTTATGAAGAGTTTGGAAAAGCTCCCCATCTGATTCTGATACACACTTTGAACTGTGATTATTACAGAATGTCAGATAAGGGGGAGAACACATTCTATGGCTAAGACAGGGAGACTGAAGCTTTTGAGTAATGATACGGCTTGCTCCAAATGATGTCTTTTAGTTTCCTATTTCTCCATATTTTCCAATTCTATGAATTTAATTAGTCAATCTAATCCTCAACAGTACTCCAAACTTGGACTACTTTCCAATCTTTTCACATCATATCCATTTCTGTGATATTAAATTGCTGCTGAAGAAAACCTGTTTCTAGACTCATAGTCTGATACTGAAACCTTTTTTTTTTTTTTTGTATCAGGGATTGAACTCAGGGGCACTCAACCATGGAGCCACATCCCCAGTACTATTTTGTATTTTATTTATAGACAGGGTCTCATTGAGTTGCTTGGCACCTCGCTTTTACTGAGACTTGCTTTGAACTCAAGATCCTCCTGTCTCAGCCTCCTGGGCTGCTGGGATTACAGGCTTGCACAACCCCACCGGGCTTGAAGCTGTTTTCTGTATGATACTTTGTGTGTGCGTGTGTGTGCGCATTTGGAATGGAATCAGGGGCCCTTGCATCCTTGGCGAGCACTCTGTCACCGAGCTACATGTCCCTGCCCTATGTGAGGTTTTTAACCTGCATGATGTAAATAATTCCATAAAAATGGTATTTATGCATTCACTCAAATATTAGTTGAGCGCCTATGATCACTGCCAGATTCTGGTGATGAATGATACTTGCCTTCATTGAGCTAATGACAAAAACAAAAATTAGTTATTAAAATTGATTTATTATTCAGATGATACCTTAATATATAGTCATAGATATTGTCAAGAAAAGGAAGTGTTGCAAGCACTCGATTTTGTTACAGATGGAGGAGGTAAAGGTTTCTTGACGAGTCGATCTAAGATCTGAAATTTGATAGAAATCAGCCAGGAAAAGAGCTGCCTGTGGAGGAAACAGGCTTGTGCAACAATCCTGAGCATTAAAACAGAAACATCCGTTTTATTCATTCTCTCCGAATATATCTGCTGCATACCAAATGCTGCTGATGGCTGCCCAGACTCTATTTTGTTGCTCATATAGAAAATTTCATTTTAATTGTAGTTGCTATATTCAGCAAAAGTCTAATGAGGATAAACTCAAATCCTCAGAGTCCTCAGCTAAACCGTAGTTTCCAGTTGTCTCCGGCCCCCCTTAACCCTATCCCACACGCTCAGCCAATCGCAGTGCGTAGCTTTCAGTTAGACATCTCCCATGCCCAATCACAGGGCTTCTTATTCCAGCCAGTGAGCGGCGACCGGAAAGGAGCCCTACCTCGGCTCGCAGGAACATCAATAGAAGAGCCACAGGGGGAACGGAAGCCACGGCTCTCGCGAGGATGCTCCCGGCGCTCCTCTTTCCCGAGGCGGGATATCACGTGGTGCGGCCTCGCCCAATGGGCTCGCAGACTGCAGGGGTCGCCGCGGTTCCCGCCAAATACGAGCGCGGCGGCCGTGGCAGCAGTGGCGCGGGAGGGAGGGCGAGCAGCAGCGGCCGCTGGAGCGGAGCCCGCGCCCCCGACGCCCGAGAGGAGCTTGAGCTGCCGCCGGAGCGATGCTGGAGGAACCGGAGTGCGGGGTGCCGGGTGCCAGGGGAGCGGCCGCAGGTCGGTTCGGGCCTGCGTGAGGGAAAGGGGCGGCGCGGCCTGTGCGAGCCAAGAGGCCGCTTGGGGGTGGGCTGGCCTCTGAGCGCGAGCCTGCTGCTCCGGGCCAAGCGTGCCGTCCTCGGAGCCCTCGGATACCGGACAGGCGCCCAGTGACCCGGAGGACGCCCTTCTTGACGTTATTGTTGCAGTCGCGGTCATATATACAAATTCCTTCTTCCTGGCGCCTTTGCATCCCTTAGCCCTTCCAGGGCCTCCTGTGGATGACGGGTGCCTGGAGGGGAAACAGGCTCCAGAGATGGAGGGCCAGCTTTGCTTCTTACCGAGTGCACTGTGTCCTAAGAGAGTTGGACCTTGCAGCAGGTGGGGAAACCGAGGCTTGAGGTCACATCGGCTTGGGGGGGGACTGAAATCAGAGCAGCTGCCTCTGGGGATCTGGGCAAGCCCAGCCAGGTAAGAGGGTTGGGTGTTGCGGATTGCCAGGGAGCTGGACTCCTGCCTGCTGTGCGAAGTTGCTTTCTCCTCCCTGTTTCTTGGAAGGGGTCTTTCTAGCCTACAGAGGCTTCCCAGAACTGGGGGTGGTCAGCCAAATAAATCCAGACTGCCCTTCTTTCCTGCTTGACTCCACATGGTAACCCCAGCACTTGGCACAGTTCTTGGCACGTAGTAGTTGCCCAATAAATGTGTGCTGGTTGAATGAATTAAGGCCAGAAGGGATATCAACTAGTCTAGTCCAGGGCTTCTCAAGTCTCAACACTGTTGACATTTGGGTCTGTCCTTGGCACTGTAGCATGCCTGACCCACACCCACCCCATGCCATCAGCAACCCTTACTCTTCAGATGCCACAACCAAAAATGTCTCCCAGAGGCGCTGGGTTTGGATCCCTGCACCCTCCTTTCAGAACCATTGCTCTGATTTTGGGATTTCACAGACGCCTGCATATGACTAATATAAATAAGGCTGGGAGGACTCACTGTCGTGGAGCGGTGATCTAGGTGATCTTTTTATTTAACCAAGTCAGGATGTCTAGTTAAAAAACATAAAAGCAAATACCACTTGTTATGACCATATTATAACACGAAGTTCGTTTTAACACCAAATAAAATTAGGAAAGATGTAATCTCAAAAGAGCATTTGGGCTGGGGCTCTAGCTTAGTTGTGGAGCGCTTGCCTGGCATGTGTGAGGCACTAGGTTCAATCCTCAGCACCACATAAAAATAAATAAATAAAGGTATTGTGTCCATCCACAACTAAAAAAAAAACTTTTAAAAATAAAGAGCAGTCTGTAACACTATACACAGGAGTGTTGAATATATATCTTTGAATAGTCTGGTTCCTTGAGAGGGTTTTTTTGTTTTGTTTTTTGTAGTTGTAGAAGCCCCAGCCCTGAGTGGGTCCTTTTGTTATTGATCTGATGTGGGGGGCAGGGCATGTCTGTTTCCCCTTCAATTCATGCAAATAAGACCATGAGGTTATCCTGAGAATAAATTTAAGTGGCTGAAGATTATGGCGGGAGGGGATCTATGTTTTTATTAACTGAAAACTTAAATTTTTTTTTATTTACTTTAAATGATCAGAAAGAAAACATGGGCACCTTATTCTCCAGGCTTAGGTCAGAAGTTGGGTGGTAGGTGGCGATTTCAGCTGTGGACAACTGAGTTTAGAAAAACCCAGTCTGATTTTCACGTAGCTTTATGTGATTCCCAAAATAAGCTAAAATAGATTTTTCTAAGCCAGATTGCCAAGCAGGTGTGGTCTTATATGCTTAACATAACTGTTTAAAGATATTTATCCAAAGACTTGGTTCTATTCATGGTTAATTCTGCATCAACTTTGGTATTGTTAGATGCTTTTCTTGAGATTTTTTTGATTTGGAAAAATTTTCCTCCTTTAATGGAGCACTTCAGCTCCTGCCTGACAAGTTGAAAGTACTTTCAATTGTGTTTCCTTCCTACGCTCCCTTTAAAATGAAAATGAATTCTTTCCTGATTTACAAAGCTAGTGGTGATGTAGGGGGTGGGTTAGAAAAGGCATGGGGAAGTAAATAGGAAAATGTGTTTTTTCTCATATTTACCTTTACTCAGTCCACTGCTCATTGTCCCTGTTACTATCTTGATTGGTTCCCAGTGTGTTCCAGAGCCCACGCTAGGTGTTCTAGGTACCTATGAAACAACTCACTGCTGGCATCGAGCTGCCATTTTTTATTTATTTATTTATTTTTTGGCAGAAGGCATAATCACAAATATTTCATTGTGAGTGCCAAAAAGAAAACAAAACAAGATATGGAGGTAATCTAGGGCAGAATGTCTCAACTTATTAACATTTTGAGCCAAATGACTCTTTGGCCTGGAGGGCTGACCTGTTCATTGCAGGGTATTCAGGAGTATCTCTGGCCTCTACCAACTAGACTTTATTGTTGTTGTTTTTTTTTTTTTTTTTTTTTTTGGCAATTCTGTGGATTGAACCCAGGACCTCATACATGCTAGGCAAGTGCTTTACTAATGAATGAACTACTTCAGCCCCCTAACTATACCCTGAGCACACCTAAGATTTCCCCCTAAATAACAAATAAAAATGTGTCGGGGCGTTGCCCAGCATCCCTAAGGGGCAGGGGGCAGCATTGTACCCACTTGAAAATCCTCTTGTACATAATTGGCTCCGTGTGTATATTTGGTAGCTTAATGTTTCTAACACTTAATAATTTATCCTTTGCCATTTTTTATTCACAGCCATGGATTGCAAAGACAGACCAGCTTTTCCGGTTAAGAAGTTGATACAAGGTAACACTCTGGACACAGTTAAACTTTTATTCTGAATTTATGTCCTTCATCATCTCCTGGTGGGGTCCACAGCGAAAGCCTTCAGGGGCTGGAGGGAGAACAGTTGCTCCCTCTACAGGTTGACTGTCCCTTATCTAAAACGTGTGGAACCAGCAGTATGTCAAATTTCAGATTCTGTTCTTATTTCGGAATACTTATATGTACATAATGAGCTCCCTGGGAATGGGATCCAGCTGTTAATAATTATTGTTTTATATATGCCTTATACACATAGCCTGAAGGTAATCCTACAGTATTTATAATGTGCCTGAGTTTTGATTGTGTCCTGTCACCTGAAGGTGGGAGTGGATTTTTCTTCTTACATGTACTGTTGGTGCTCAGAAAACTTTAGATTTTGGAGCTTTTCCAATCAGGGATGCATAACCAGTACCAGGAAGCTGGGAAACCCATTTTGGGTACTGAAGATCGAACCCAGGTGCCCTTTATCACTGAACCACATGCCTATCAGTGTGTGTGTGTGGGGGGGCGGTGCTGGGGATCGAACCCAGGACCTTGTGCATGCGAAGCAGGCGCTGTATCAACTGAGCTATATCCCCAGCCCCGGAAACCCGTTTTTGTACCTTAGCTTCCCTTGGGAACAATAGTGATCCAAAGGTAGGGTTTCTGTACCTCAGCACTTGTGAGGTTTTGTAATTTTTCCCCCTCCCTGGGGGTGCTGTTCTGTAGACTGCAGGGGGTTCAGCAGCATCCCTGGCCTCCCAGTAGATAACAGTGGCCTCTAAGTTGTGATGACCAGAGGCATCTCCAGGCATTGCCAGATGCCCTGGGAGACAAACTGCCCCTATTGAGAACCACTATTGTACAGGAAGGTTAATGTCCCCAAATCCTTTTGTGTGAAATAGGGAGTGTATTTATCCTTAATCCAGAAGCAGCTGGATTGTATAAACTAGGTTGTTTGTCCAGTTTTCTTGCAGCAGTTTATGTCCTGTGGAAATTGACAGCAGGATGGATGTTGGTGGGAATTTTGCTGAGGGCATGTGTCCAGAGGGTGAAGACCTAAGGCAAAGCTGTAGAACTGGACAGAATCCTTGTTTTAAAAACTGAGAAAGTATACATGATCCCGAATAGGCTGATTTTATTTGCTCGATTACATTACAAAGTAGTGTTTTTGAAATGCTGGTTTGGCATTTAGGTGGGTGTAGGCTTGTTGGAAAGTCCATTTGATTGAATTTCCTCGCACTCCTCAGGTGTTGGCTACACATCTCTTACAGCCAGCCCCAGCCAGCCAGGTGCTGGGAAGACAGTTGACTGATGAGGAAATCTGGCAGCCTGGAGTGCTGGTACTACAAAGAAATCTTTTCATGAGGGTCTGTTTCTGCAAAACCAGAAACAGTTATCTTAATGGGTTTTTGTTTTTTTTTTACCCACTGTAAATACATTTGGGTTTTGAACTGGATCTTGATCAGAAAATCTTAAAATTTTGGCAATATCCCTGTTAAAAGATTGTCCCCCCCCGCCCCCGCTTTTTTTTTTTTTAATGAAGACTTTGGAAAAGTACAGCATGAAGCAATAATCTCATCCTGTCCCTTCCCCACTCCTTTGGTGTGCTAGGGATGGAGCCCAGTGCCTAGTGCATGCTCCGCACACACTCTGTCACTCAGCCACACCCCAGCCCTGAGAGCACCATTTTGCGGCACCGGGGATACAACCAGGGCCTTACACATGTTAGGCAAATGGTCTACCACAGAGCTACACCCTTAACCCCCAAAATTCCCCTCTTAAACTTGAAAGTTTCCGCCCAGAGTGCAGCAAGTTTTATTTTCTTTTTCCGATTTTTTTATTGATAAGGTGAATAATTTTCAAGCATACAGAATATTAAAGTATTTATTGTCACTGTACACTTCCACTGAAAGGGCAACCTCCTTCTCTCTTCATTCCAGCCCGTCTGCCGTTCAAGCGCCTAAATCTTGTCCCCAAGGAGAAATTCGAAGATGGGTCAGAAGACATTGGAAGCTCCCAGAGTGTTTCTGTGGAAGGGAAAGTCCCCGATTTAGAAACATCTTTGGACAACTTGGAGAACAACTGTCATATGGGTTCTGACCTAGACTTCAGACCCAAACTTGTCAATGGGAAGGGTCCCTTAGATAACCTCATAAGAAATAGAATCAAAACCAGCATTGGCCAGAACATGGTCATTGTTGATTTGACGGAAGACTCCAGCGACCAGCCAGACAGTACTGTGGACCAGGATGAATTTAATCCCGAAGCCTCCCTCTCAAGGGAGCCTGCCAGTGGGATTGGAGAAGGCCCAGGTCAGGGGCTATCAGGGATCATTCCCAGCCATGGTCTGGTGATGTTTCCTGCAGAAACCCTTTCAGACATTCCTTGTAAATCAGAAGAGGAGCCTGTTGGCTTTGAAGCCCTGAAGAGGAATGGCAGCTCTCAGGAAGGTGCCCCTCAAAGCTGCTCAGAGCCAACAGGGGGCCCAAGAATGTGCCCCCAGAAGGAGCAGGACAGTTGGAGCGAAGCCGGAGGCATCCTGTTCAGAGGGAAAGTTCCTGTGGTGGTCTTGCAGGATATCTTGGCAGTGGAGCCTCCTCAAGCCAAGCCTCTCGGGACACCCCTGGACAAGAGCATGGCCTCAGAGAATGAGGCGCTAGAATCCTGCCCTGAGGAAGACTCTGCCCTTAGCCACTCACCCCTGAGCTCCTCGTCCACCAGCTCACCCGAGGGGCAATTGGCTCCTGGAAGACAGCATCATGGTCCCAGCCCCTCTTCTACCTCCACGCCTCTCCACAGAGTGAGTATCTCCACAGAACCCCAGGTCCTGGTGCTGCCTGGTCCCTACACTGGGTCTTGGGACTTACTAAAGATGCAGAATTCTCTCTGATAGTGAAATCCATGAGTTGTTTGGTTCTGTGTGTGTTGTGGTGGGCTGAGGATGCTATTCAACATGGTGCCCATGTCTCGTGGAACAACCATTTCAGCCTTTGTCGCCCATACCTGACTGATAGCTGTGTTGGTGAACAAAGACTGTGGGCAGGTGTGCCCTCACTTCCTACTTGAGCTTTCTTTCCTCCACTCCTTCCTTCTGTCCCAGTGTAGACCTGTTGGGGTGTCTTTGAAGTGGCAGCAAGACAGTGGGCAGATGAAAGGGAAACTAAAATCCGCTCTTGGCAGCAATGCCACCTTCTTAACCTTGTCTGCAGTGACAGGAATAGGAACATGAGGGACCTGTCACCATAGTAAATGACCTAGAAAGGTGACCTTCAAAGAATGTGCTTCTTGCTGGGCACGGTGGCACACGCCTATAATCTCAGTAGCTTAGGAGGCTGAGTCAGGAGGATTACGAATTAAAAGCAAGGTGCTAAGCAACTTTGTAAGACCCTGTCTGTAAATAGAATAACATACAAAATAGAGCTGGGGATGTGTCTCAGTTGTCGAGTGCCCTTAGTTCAATTCCTGGTACCAAAAAAAAAAATATTTATTTTTAAATAAATATTTATTCTAAATTATAGGTGGACACGGCATCTTATTTTACATTTATGTGGTGCCAAGGATCGAACCCAGTGCCTTGTGCATGCGGGGAGAGCACTCTACCACTGAGCCCCACCCAGCCCCAGCCCTTTTTTTTTTTTTACTATTTATTATTTAGTTGTAGATGGATACAGTGCCTTTATTTTATTTTTATGTGGTGCTGAGGATCGAACCCAGGGCCTCACACGTGCTAGGCGAGTGCTCTACCGCTGAGCCACAACTCCAGCCCAAGAATATGTGCTTCTTTAATGCTTTAAGCACACCCATGTGGAAAATGCTTGGGAGAAGGAACATTTTGGATATGGGAATATTTGCGCATATATAATGAGATATCTTGGGGATGGCACCCAGGTTTAGGCACAAAATTCATCTATGCTTTGTGTACACCTGTTTTTTTGTTTTCTTTTCTTTGTGGTGTGGTGCTGGGGAGGGAACGAGGACTTCAGACATGCTGATCACTGGACCTCATCCAGCCCTTTTTCTGTGCCCTGTGCAGTAGCCCAGTCGTTAGTACACAACATTCTGAATAGCATTTGTCCCATAGGGTAGGGTATTGAGTCCTCTGCCTGTGGCGTCATGTTGGTGTTCAGAAAGTTTCAGATTTTGAAGGATTTGCGGTTTCAGATTTTTGGATTACAAATGCCCCATCTTTATTATTTCTAATAAAGCACAGTGGTGAATTTCTCGATTTTCTCATTTTTAAGGTCTCAAAGGTCCAGGCACACGGTTGGGGATATAGCTCAGTTGGTGTAGAGTGCTTGCCCCACATGCACAAGGTCCTGGGTTCATTCCCCAGCACCACAAAAAATAAGGAAAAGGGTCCAGGCACAGTTGCATACACCTGTAATCCTAGCATCTTGGGAGGCTAAGGCAGGAGGATTGCAAGTTCAAAGCCAGCCTCAGCAATTTAGTGTGACCTCATCTCAAAATAAATCAAAAAGGGCTGAGGATGTGGCTCAATGGTTAAGTGCCTTTGGGTTAAATTCCTTGGTACAAAAATTTAAAAAGGTCTCAAGAGTGAAACTCATAAAAATCAGTCCAGAATCCCAAAATGTATTGTTTGATTTGATTGTACTTTTGTATGTTCACTTTAAATCTTTTTTTAAGTTGTAGTTGCACACAATATCTTTATATTGTTTATTTAGTTTTTTATGTGGATCAAACCCAGTGCTTCCCATGTGCTAGGCAAGTGCTCTACTCTTGAGCTACAACCCCAGCCCCACTTTAGATCTTTATGTGATTGGATCTTAATTTGTACCGGAGATTGAACCCGGGGGTGCTTAACCACTGAGCCACATCCCCAGCTCTTTTAAAAATTTTTTATTTTGAGAGAGGGACTTGGTAAGTTGCTGAGGCTGACTTTGTACTTGAGATCCTCTTGCCTCAGCCTCCTATTACTGGGATTACAGGCGTGCATTACCCAGATAGGGCAGGAGACTTTCACTTTGAGAAACAATGATCTGGGAACTGCCTTTTTTAGAAAATACCAAGCTCTCTGGAAAAGCCAAAGGTTCTTTTTTGCTTTACGACCTTTTACCGTGTAGTTTGTTTGCAATTAGGTGTGAAATTTAGTGTATTTTATTGATGATACAGGATGAATGTTCCCTAGACGGCAGTCATGATGCTGGACCCTCTGGCTTGTCTTGGTGTCAAATGAGTCCAGGTTTCAGATCTTTTCCATGCAGATGAATTTACTGCCAGCTGCATGGCTTGCAGCTTCTGCATCTCTGGGTGAAAATTCATGCATACGTGTACTGAGCAGCGGTGACTGAAGGTCACTGGATGGGTGTGCACATGATAATGCTATTCTATATAAGGACATGAACACCTGTGGGGGTTCTGGAATCAGTGGACATGGGGAAGGGGGCGTGACCGATGCAAGGGTTACATTTCATCATTACACCTTGACCTCGGGACCTCCTGCTGAATCTGCCCTGGGGTTGCCTCTTGTCATTTTCTGATCCTCTGCATGGGAGAGATCCCTCAGAAATACACAGTAAACTTTTGTTTCCTCACGAGAGATATGTGTCACTCATCCTTGGAGGGGAAGTCGTCTTTTAACTGCTCTGTTCTTGCTGTGGTGTGGAAGGGTGGTTGCTGCTGCTGCTGCTGCCGTCCTCACTGGCGGGGGGCTTCTGCGGCCTCTGTGCTGTGCCATGGCAACATGATAACCCTCTGCACCACCTTGGGCTGCTGAGAGACTGAGCACTTGCCAACTCATAGGGGCGCATCCTTGTTGCCGTAGGTTGGACTGCTCTGGGGCTGTCACTTCCCTGCCTTGGCTCCCCTGCTGTTGAGTTTCTCTCTCCTGCACCTAGAAAATCCTGGTCCTTGAGAAAATGTCAGAACCACTGGGTATGGAGAGGCTTTGCAGGTGCTTTAATACCCAGACTCAGTGGGGTCCATCTTGCAGAGAGCATGGTTGGGTTTGTGCTTGAACTTCCTCCTAGGGTCCTGGGTCAGGCCTTGGCTGGATAGTTGCTGTCTGGCCAAGCTCAGGTGGGCAGCATGTGCCAGAATCATGTGTAATTCAGAGTGAGCTCTGTCAACACCAGACCCTATTTGAGGACGGTAGTGTTGTATCAGACAAGAAGGTCCATGCACATTTATGGAAGCAGTGGCCGTGCTGGTCTAGAACCAGGTGGCAATTGCTGGGGCCCTAGGATATTCCGAGCCTGAGCCTGCTGTCACGTGAACCTGCTCCTCCTGGGGACCCAGTGCTTGAAGCCTGGTGGCAAAGAGAAACCTCCTGCAAGGCTGTACACTCTAGATGAGGCTGAGTAATTCTGGGCACAGCTCGGTGAGTGTGTGTCCCCTCCAGTCCCCTCATCTAGGAAGCTGGCTCTCATTGTGCACTGGACCCTCCCAACACGAAGGGCAGCAACAGAGATACCGCCGCTCACATTTTCTGTTAGGCCCTTTAGTGTGGCGGTGAAGCCCATAGACTCGGCAGACCAAGTGCGTTCTGGACAGATGCCTTTCCATCAGCGTTTGTTGAGACTCACCAGGCTGAGCACAGCCGTCATGCCATAGCAGGTGCTCACCTCTCATGTTCGGTGGGACCCAGGAGCTAAGGCCGTCTCCTGGGTTGTGTCTGACTCCATGCGTGGTCCTTGGCAGAGGTTCAGATTTTCTAGATAAAGATGTCACGTTAAGGGACTGGGGGTGTGGCTCAAGCGATATCGCGCTCACCTGGCATGCGCGGGGCGCTGGGTTCGATCCTCAGCACCATGTACAAATTTAAAAAAAAAGATGTTGTGTCCACCGAAAACTAAAAAATAAAAAAGTAAATTAAAAAAAAAAAAAAAAGATGTCACTTCAACACAGCCTTGTGTGCCTGTTGGAGCCTCTCCAGGTTTATGGGCCTTTTCTTTTTCAGCCTCCTCTGCGAGTTTGAATGGAACCTGGAGAGATATTTCTCCCCACTGTGCTTGGTTTTAATCGTCTGTCCGGGAAACCTGGTGGGAGGTGCGTGGGCCAGTAGTGTGAACTCTTATTCCAGATATGTGAGTGGAGTCCCCTTGTCTTGGCTGTGCATGTAGCCTCCTTTCAAGGTGGTAGAGATTTTTGTGCCTAAGAGTCTAGGGCTCTGGACTAGATCTCCCGTCCCTGAAGCTGACTGTTTTCTGAGAAGCAGAATTGAGTTGTGGCTCCATGGTTAGCACTTGCCTGGCAGGTGTGAAGCCCCCAGTTTCATCCCCACCACACACACAAAGGCAAAGTATCCATCAGAGGCCCACACCAGTCCAAGCTGCAAATATGTTTTATTTACTTGAAGTTGTACCAATTTTTAGACGTTATGTTAAAAATTTGCATGTTCCCCGGGCTGGGGATGAAGCTCAGTTGGTAGAGTGCTTCCCTCGCATGCACAAGGCCCTGGGTTCAATCCCCAGCATGATTCAGGTGTCAGCTCCTCCTGGGAGTCAGTGGCTCTTGGCTCAGGTTCCAATAAGAGCTCCATCCCTTGGGAATGACAGGTCCTATCTCCTTTGCTACAGGTCCCTCAACGCCTTTTTTGCCTGTGGCTTTTATTTTTGAGCTTGCCTCTGGTTTCTCCTGCACTCAGCACCTTCAGTCCTTCCTTTATCTGCCTCCCCACCCTCCCCCTTATCTAGTCCCAGATACACGCAGGTACATGCACATTTATTGGAGTCTGTGACACCGTGGTGACATCTTGTTTCTGTTGGTAGGAACATGGGTAGCTGTGAAAGGATGAAGTGTATCCTGTTTTGCAAAGACATTCTTTTCTTTTTTTTTTTTTTAAAGAGAGTGGGGAGAGAGAGAGAATTTTTTAATATTTATTTTTTAGTTCTCAGCGGACACAACATCTTTGTTTGTATGTGGTGCTGAGGATCGAACCCGGGCCACAGGCATGCCAGGCGAGCGCGCTACCGCTTGAGCCACATCCCCAGCCCGCAAAGACATTCTTAATAGTGGTGGCCTCCTAGTTGCTCCTTCTGTTTCCCCCAGGGACTTCAGGGAAGGTGTCTATTGGGAAAAGTGATTGAAACAATCCCTGCTTAAAAATAAATCTCCTGGGCTGGGGTGTTCCCTTACCTAGCATGGTGAGGCCCTGGGTTTCATCCCCAGTCCTGCAAAAAAGAAAACAAATGTCTTTCTATTTCAGATAACCAAGAAATTCGTCAAAGGGTCCACAGAGAAGAACAGGATGAGACTGCAAAGAGTAAGGCGCTTTCCCTGCAGGAGAGCATAGTCCCACTTGCCTGCTGTGCCTGTTGGCCTTGTCACCAGCAGAGCCCTTTGCTCCTCGCTTGTCCCATTTTCACCTTCCCTGACCATCGGGTGACGTTGTGGACGTTGTAGCTTGTGGGTTACATCACTTTTTGCTAAATCCTAGGGTTTTGCACACCGCCTCTTCCTAGCCTAGGAGTAGGGGTGGTAGTCTTCTGCCTCAGTAGCTGGCCACTCACAGGCCTGGGCTTGGCTTGGTGGTAGAACCTTGTTCAGCAGATGTGTGGCCCTGGGCTCCACCCCTAGCACCAGAAGGAACCTGATCCCTGCAGCCCTATTTCTTCAGAGGAATTTTAGTCCCTACACAGAGTGAGGGGCTGGGGCTATAGCTCAGTTGGTAGAGTGCTTGCCTTGCATTCACAATCCTAGTACCACCAAAAAATAATAATAATAATACACTAGAGGAGTGATAATTGTTAGTGACTCCCTGTCCAGCTTTGCTTCTGTTAATGGGGTTCACCATGTTTGGGTGTGTGCGTATGTGTGTTACTGGGGATTGAACCTAGGTGTACTTTGCTACTAACTTATGCAGCCCTTATTTTATTTTGAGTTGGGGTCTTGCTGATTTGCTGAGGTTGTCCTTGAACCTGCCATCCTCGGGCCTCAACCTCCTGAGTCACTAAGATGATAGGCGGGTGCCACTATACCCAGCTCCTTTGGTTCTTATTATGCCAAAGTTTAGAGACAGCCACTGAGGTACCCCATCCCCTGCAGCTTAGGCAAGGGGCCCTTTCAGCAGTTGGCTCTCAGTTCCCCAGGGTTTCCTGGGCCTCGTTAGAGCTGCACTCAGGTTTTTTGTGCTGGGTATTTAAGCCCCATGCTAAGCTCATGCTCTACCTCGGCTCCATAAATGTCGAGAAACAGCCTCAGGTATAGCTAAAGACATGTGCTTTACCTGGGATTTCAAGCTTTGGCTTCCTGATTTAGCACCTGGGAGCAGTCCTCCCCATCCTGCCATTGTGCCCGTGGTCTCATCTAGAACAGACCTGTCCCCTTTCTTGGGCATCTTCCAACTCCTGTGGTGCTGCATAGGATTCTTGACAAGTCCCTGGACAAGAAATGGACACTCGGACCTGTCAACATGATTGGAGGTCCATCAAGGCAGGGTCAGCATGTTTCTTCACAGCCGAAAGCTTGGTCCTGTGGAAATAATCTTGGCTGTCCAGGAAGGACGCGTCCACCCTCGGCCAGTCAGGTGGCTTGTCTGAGGGTAATATGGGGATTGTAGTCAGCCAGTGCCTTGAGCCACAGGCCACCTCTGCAGAACAAAGCACCGTGAAGTGAAGCCCACCCTCCGTGGAAAGCCTCAGGGACACTGGTCGTTGAAGCCCCCAGTACCATTGACACTGCCCCAGCCTTTGAGGTTACTCTGTCCTTTCTTCACATGAAAGATGGGTTTAAGTTTTAGTTAGATTTTTGTTTTACTTTGTTTTCTCGTTTACTCTCACCTGGTAAGACTCGCTCATGGGTCCCCTGGCCTTGTCTCGTCCCAGTCTTCATTGTCACTCTGTGGTTTGGGGTGGCAGGTGGGGGGTGTTTGTTTTGAAGGTAGGAGACGGAGCCTGGGTGTTCCTGTTCATTTTGACACACTTTTCTGATTGAATACACAGTTGGAATTTAATAGCGGAGCCGGGCGTGGGGCGCAGTGTCCTCTGGCTTTTTTGTGTGTGGTGCTGAGAATCAAACCCAGAGGCCCTGCCCGTGCCAGGCAAGTGCCCTACCACAGCTTCGCCTCAGCTCCTATTTATTTATTTTTTAATCTTTGTTTTATTTATTTGTTTTTATGTGGTTCTGAGGACCGAACCCAGGGCCTCGCAGGTGCCAGGCGAGCGCTTGACCGCTCAGCCCCAGCCCCCTGTGTGTCTTTTAAGTAAGTGTTTTGTGAAGTGCCCCTTTTTGTTTCGTGAGAGACAGGCTGGCCTGGAACTTGCAGTCCTCCTGCCTCGGCCTCCAGCCTTCCTGGAAGGCAGCGTGGCCAGCACGCCTGCGGTGCCCATGTTTCAAAGTCATTTTAAATGAGTCTTCTGCTGCACCTCCCCCAGGGCGCTGGGACGAAGGCCTGGTGTCATGGTGGGTTTTGTGAGGGAGCCGCCGAGGCCTCTGGAGCTGCTCCTCGTGCCTGCCTTCAGGGAGGGCCCAAGGACCAATGTGCTTGTCCCCCAGGAGAAAGAGCAGTGGAGGGAAGAGAAGGAGAAGCTGAAAGAAGAGGCCCGGCGGGCCAAGGAGGAGGCCAGGAGGAAGAAGGAGGAGGAGAAGGAGCTGAAGGAGAAGGAGCGGCGCGAGAAGCGGGAGAAGGACGAGAAGGAGAGGGCGGAAAAGCAGCGGCTCAAGCAGGAGAGGCGCAAGGAGCGGCAGGAGGCTCTCGAGTGAGTGCCTCGCCCTCCCGAGGCCGCCACGCCCCTTGCAGGCTGCACCTCTGAGCCCAGGGGGTCGGCCTCCTCGGGCTTCCCCACTTGTCACTGCACTGGGGTGACCGGCCTTCTGCCCCCGCTCAGCCTGGAACAGCTGCCGCCCAGGGGCTCCTGGGGCATGCGGGTGGCTGGGCGGCCTTCTGTTCCCGCCACTTCCCTGTCCAGCGTCATCAGTTTTCTTGGTTGACCCTGTACCCCGGCTTTGTGGGAGACTGGAGCAGTTGATGATCGGTGGGTGCAGACTGTGGTGTTAACAGCCGGGTGCCACAGTCACTGCCAGTAGCCCAGCCAAAACCTGACCCGTGGTTCGCTGTCTCACAGGGCTAAACTCGAGGAGAAGAGGAAAAAGGAGGAGGAGAAACGGTTACGGGAAGAAGAAAAGGTAGCATGCTGCCCCCTGCCTCTCAGCTTCTGAGGCCGCGTGTTGGAAATGCCCTCTCTGCCCCCGCTACGCCTTGAGCTTTCTGGGCAGCTTGGTGACACCCATGGGGACCAAGTAGCCTGTTCAAATGCCACTGGTGTCACCGGCTCTCTGTGCTGGCTTTCCACGCTCCTGCTGGCCGGGCATCTTGACAGGACTTGAGCCTTCGAGGATAGCTGCCATTCTGAGACTGGCTGCACTCCCTATATTGTGGGCTGATGGGTTTGTGGGCCACAGTCTCGTGGCCCTTTGCTCGGGAGTGCTTGGGACTCGGTTGCGCCCTGAACGCAGTGCTTCTCCACCCCACCCCATCCCTGTCTCTTCATAGCGCATTAAGGCAGAGAAGGCTGAGATCACGAGGTTCTTTCAGAAGCCAAAGACTCCGCAGGCCCCCAAGGTGAGCAGCACCCCCTCCCTGGCTCCTCGTGTCTTGAGACTTTCTCCCTTCTAGAAATGAAGAGGGGTCTGCTGAAGACGGGGCCTTCATTTACCCAGGGGCACCTTCATTTCTGCTGCCGCCTGCAGGTTTCATATCTGGTCATTCATTTCATCCCCAAAACAAAAATGTGCGTGCCTGGTAGCAGTGCAGAGCCACCAGAGCTTGCCTGGGAGTGGGAATCAGGTGCTCAAGACAGGCACAGCGTGGAGCCGCCCAAGACTGCTGGCGGCCAGACCTCCGCTCCGGGCTGCAGTGCACCTGGCCCTCTTCTCAAGGGAGCTACCGGATGCTGTGCTATGTGTTCACACCCTGTGCACACGAGTGTGTATTTCAGGGTTGTTCTGAGTTGGTCGTGGTCTCTGTGTGTTCAGCCATGGTCTCAGGTTCTTGCCGTGGTATATTTTATATCTGTTTGATTCCTTTTTTTCAATTTTTAACTTTTTTTGTTCCAGGGGTTCAATCCAGGTGTCTGCCACTGAGCCACATCCCCATCCCTTTTTATTCCAGGCTTACCTGGAACTTGGCCACCCTCTGCCTCAGCCTCTTGGGTCCCCGGGATGACAGGTGTCCTATCATTCTGGCCATTTTTAAACATGTACTTCCTTGGCCTGGAGTGGCTGAATTCCAGGTGGTTGGCCTGAGGCTTTGTGGGTTCGCCTGTGCTGTGGCTACGCCCGCTTGGTCCACCTGTTGTCTGCGCGTTGCCCAGTGCAGTGGTACCACAGCCACCAGCAGCATTTCCTCCTCACCCACACCATGCTCCTCTGCATGTCCTGCTGCATGCAGACCCCATGTTTGCTCACACGAGGGTGGGCCCTGAAGGGGGTTGGCCAGAGGAATCCGATCTCCCAGAGTTCACACTTGGATGAGACGGAGCAGCTGCAGGGTGTTTCCGGTTCCGGGCAGTTTGCGTGGCTCTCCTGGGCCCTGGGAGGGGAAGGGGTGGCCCACCAGACCCGCTTCTGCCTCTGTCTCAGGTCACCTGTGTCTGTCCATCCATCTATTGAGGGGTAGCTTACACACACAGTAAAATTTACCCTTTGGGAGATGTTTGGTGAGTTTTGATAAGTGGTAGAGGCCTTGTAACTGTCTCCTTGGTCAAGGCCTGGAAACTGTCTACCAGTCACTGAGACCTCCTCTGGTTCCTCCTCCTCCTCTCCCGGCTCATGAGCCACAGGATGGACAACCTGCAGCCTTTGCCGACGAACTTGGCGGTATCTCTGCTTTTGGATGTGTCCTTTGACAGTGGCCCGTCGTGGAGGCAGCAGGCTCTGCACATTTTCTCCATTGATGAGTGTCTTCATTTTCCACTCAGTGTCCCATTGGGCCACTCTTTTTCAGACCCTGGCTGGCTCCTGTGGAAAGTTTGCCCCCTTTGAAATTAAAGAGCACATGGTCCTTGCCCCCCGCTGTCGGGCTACCTTCAACCAAGACCGCTGCCATCAGCTGGACCAGCTCCTCCAGCAGCAGAGTGGAGATAGCTCCTTCTTGAAAGAGCTAAAAGGCCGCCAGCCCCTCAGGTCCGGACCCACCAGGCTCTGCAGCCGGGACACAGATGTTTTCAACAGGTAGAGCCTGAGGACACCGTTCTCTTCCCAGCCACCTGCCTGCCTTTGAACCCTGCCATCTCATTGTCCCCACTTTCCCAGGTGGGCTCCTATTTCCAGCCTCTGCAGCAGAGGGTGGCCCCGTGCTCCTGCTGGGCTTCCTAGTCCACAGCCCTGTGCTGGTGCCTGCCGTTGGGGCATCCCTGCCATGTGCTGCTCCCTGTGCTTGGAGCTGGACAGTGCTGCTGTTCAGCTTTAACCTGTGCGCCTGTCCTTTAGTGGGTCCTGGGGTGCGGGAGGCGGGGAGCCAGTGGCAGAGGAAGCAGACTGGATGCCTTTATTTGCCAGTGACATGGTGATCGTGGGCAGCAGCAAGGTGGCTGGCATTCCTGAGCGGAGGAAGTTTGGCCGGATGAAGCTCCTGCAATTTTCTGAGAATCACCGGCCAGCGTACTGGGGGACGTGGAATAAGAAGACAGTGGTCATCCACCCGCGGAACCCTTGGGCCCAGGACAAGGTAGGGGCTCTCAGGTGCCCAGGCCCACATGTCCTGCTGCATGCAGACCCCATGTTTGCTCACTTCTTGGCCGTGCCCTTTCCCCCACCTGTCGACAACAGTGACTCCCTATGTCTCTCTTTGCAGGCGCTGCTCGACTATGAGGTAGACAGCGATGACGAGTGGGAAGAGGAGGAGCCTGGGGAGTCCCTGTCCCACAGTGAAGGGGTGAGGGCAGGTCTGAGCACAGAGCGGCCCCTGCAGCCAGGTCTGAGACCCAGGCCTGGCCCGTGCTAGGCAGGTGTTCTGACGCTGAACCTCACCTCAGTCGGGCAAAGCCAGCCTGGGCCTCGCTTCTCCTATGGAGGTGCTTCCTGTGGCGGTGGCATTGGAGGCAGCTGGCCCGGGGCCTGGCCATGGGCTCCACTGCCTCCTCCTGCCAGCTGTGCTGCCCGAGTCTGGTAGCCTGATTTCCAGCCACCATGACCCCATGCTATCTGTAGGAGTGACCCTCATGTGGATGGAACCTGGGCCTCTCAGGCTGGATGAGAGCCCTGGCCTGGATTTGAGTTTTAATGACACCCACGTTGTTTCCTACATGACAACTTATTCATTTTTTCTCTTTGAGGACGATGATGATGAGGTTGGAGAGGATGAAGATGAGGATGATGGCTTCTTCGTGCCCCATGGATACCTGTCTGAGGACGAAGGCGTGACTGAGGTAAAGGGTGAAGGAGGAAGTGACTGGCTCAGAAGTTCGCTTAGGGGCTGGTGACGTGGTAAATGCCTGCCCTGGCCACCGGACTACCTGCTCCACTGTAGCTCCAGGTGGGTCCTCAGCCTGGGCTTGTTCGAGGTGGCTGGATCTGGACCTGGACCTGGTTTTACCAGGAAGGCAGCAGAATGTGTGGAAGATTCCCGCTGTGGGGCTCTCCTGGCAGAGCCCTGAGGACTGGGCAACCATGGTTGGGGCTCAGAGGGTCCCAAACTTGCTCAGCTGGAGAGTGACTGTGCAGCACCACCTGTGGTCCCCAGCAGTCCCAGCATTCAGTCTCTTGGGCTCAGGGTGCACTGCGTTCTTGAAACTGCTCCCAAGGTGTGGAGAACGTAGGACCCCATCACCAGCGGTCCCTCGTGCCTCCAGGTTGCCACCCTGCCACGACTCACCAAAACCTGCAAGATGCGCAGCCGTGCAGAAGCCACTCTGGGGCTCTATGTCATCTGCCATGTCGCAGCAGTGGAAGGGGAGGGCTGCCTTCCTGTGTCCTGGTGTGCCCCCAGACGTCTGCCACTTAGAGGATGGTCTAGGTCTGGCAGGTGGCAATTTGGGGTTGTTGGTGGTGATCACACACTGACCAGGAAGGCAGCTGGGCAGTAAGTTGCCTGCAGGGCAAGATCGTAGCAAGGTCATAGCAGCATCTGACTCGCCTTAAGCTGTCGAATGTCTGGAAATGCCCTGCCATGCCTCCTTCCTGAGGGCTGGGAGGTCGGCTCTGAGGCAACATCCTCCCCACTGGGCCTGGCTCTGTGAGTGGCTCCTGGCCAGGGCCTGGGTGGAGGGCGGTGGGAGCCCCCAGCAACTGTGCTTTCCTCCTGCAAGGAGTGCACGGACCCCGAGAACTACAAGGTGCGTCAGAAGCTGAAGGCCAAGGAGTGGGACGAGTACTTGGCCAAGGGGAAGCGGTTCCGTGTCCTCCAGCCTGTGATGATTGGCTGCGTGTGGGCGGCCGACAGGGACAGCTGCTCGGTCGCCGAGCTGAAGGTGCTGCAGCAGTTCACAGCCTGCCTTCTGGATACGGCGCCCTCAGAAGAGGAGCAGGCGCCCAGGGCCTCCAAGAAGGAGAGGAGGGACCAGCAGAGTAAGTGGTGGCAAGGCCTTGCTCCTGGGCAAGGCCGGCCTCAGCTGCCTGTCCTAGCTGGCTGTCCTCCGGGCCAGGGAGGGGACACAGGCCAGGTGCAGACTCATGCTCTGCCTCTCTGCACCTCAGCCCCATCTTGTCCTTGGTGACTTTAGTCATCGTCCTGGACATAGCTTGGAGCGCTGAGGAGTGGGAGGCCACTTGTGTCTCCAGGGCACGACCCGACTCTGCCTCCTCGCTTTTCAGAAGCCAGGGGTGCAGTGGCTGAAGGAGCACGTAGGCGGCAGGCCCGAGCTGTCTGGGCGGCGCTGCTTTCCCAGGCACTAGGTGCGCTGCCCTGCCTTGGGTCTGCTCTCCAGAGCCCCCCGTGGCCGAGCCTGCACCTTGCAGATAGTTGAGGACTTATGTGGCCGTGTCGGGCTCTGTCTGGGTGCACATTCTATCTTACCCACACCCTGTCCCCTGTCCCACCAGTCCTGGCCCAGCTGCTCCCGCTGCTACATGGCAATGTAAACGGGAGCAAGGTGATCATCCGGGAGTTCCAGGAGCACTGCCGACGAGGACTGCTCAGCAGTGACGTGGGCGGCCCCCCAAGCCCTGCCTCCCGCCCGCAGACTCCCACTGCCACCAGCGAGGATGCCGCTGTGCCCTCCAAGGCCAGGCTGAAACGGATTATTTCTGAGAACTCGGTGTATGAGAAGAGGCCGGACTTCAGGATGTGCTGGTACGTCCACCCGCAGGTGCTGAAGAGCTTCGACCAAGAGCACCTCCCCGTGCCGTGCCAGTGGAGCTACGTCACCATGGTGCCCTCGGCCCCCAGGGAGGACAGTGGCAGCGCCCCTGCTGCGGGGCCCAGCCAGGGACCGCCCGTCCCGCTGAAGAGGAAGGCTGCGGGGAGCATGTGCATCACGCAGTTCATGAAGAAGCGCCGGCATGACGGGCAGGTGAGCTGCCCCGGCTGCAGGAGCGGGAGCCTGCGGGGCAGCGGGCCCTGTGGTTCCTGCTTTCTTCTGTTTTCTGGTGCTAGGGATTGACCCCAGGGGCATGTGACCACTGAGCCACATCCCAGACCTTTTGAGAGACAGGATCTTGCTGAGTTGCTTAGGGCCTTGGGTTCCTGCCCAACCATAGGCAGCCTGGGTTAGTGTTCAGTGTGTCCCTTTTGTCATGAACTGTGGCGTTGCCCTGTGGGCACTGACTCCTGAGACCAGCGTCCTGTGCACTGAGACGGAGGTAGCAGTCCCCCCACTCAGAGAGTGGTGCTGCGTGGGTGGCAGCTGGGTGGGGAAGGTGAGAGGAGGGAGCGCAGGCTCCCGCTTGTGTCTGCTTCACACGTGAAAGGGCCGTAGGGGCAGAGGCCAGGTGAGGACTTGGATACCTTGAAACCTTTCTCACTGTCAAAGCAAGGGGTCCTCTGGGAACTCCCAAGAGGATCTGGTGTCATTGCTGTGACTGTTCCTGTCAGCCCCAGAGTCTCTGACCTGATGTGGCTTGTATGCAGAGCTCCCCTCAGCAAGTGCCACTTGACATTGTGGAGGACCCACAAATCCTTCCCTAAAACGAGAAGTGCTGGTTGGTCTGTCATCGGTGTAAGCTGTGCCTGAGGAGCAGAGTCCCCTCTTGTCGTTCCTCCCAGGCCATGTGAGAAGGAACCCAGGTTTGGCTGCCTGGCACAAAACTAGCTGGGGAACCAAACGTCCCAGATTGAGACTGACCAGGGCCCAAAGACACCCTTCTGTTTGTGTCGTTTTCCAAGCAGCTGTGTCGGCCTTTGCCCCCATCTGCCCTCCCTGGGGACCCTCAGTGCCCAGTGCTCTATCAGGCCTCCTGTCCCCAGGCAGCATGTCCCCCACCTTGTTAGACGTGGCTGTTTTCCCCCTCTCTCGGGCTGGCCCACATCCCTCAATGTGGAGGACAGTGGCTCGGGCACGCGTGCAGCATTGGATAGAGCCTGGTGTGGGTATCTGCGTTGCATGGGCAGTGTGGTGCTTCGTTATTTTATCCAACCTCCAACAAAGAGAAGGTGGCGGTCAGAAGGGTTGGCATGTGACACGTTGCAGGTGGCTCTCAGGAGTGGTGATACCTGGCGTCTTGTCTGCAGCAGCCTCAAGTAATCGGCAAGGTCTCCACTCCTCCCACATGAGGCTCCTCCAGGCTCAGCAGCACAGGGGGTCTTGCTGAAGACCCTGCAGTGCAGCCCAGGCCAGACCCAGCTTAGCCTGTGCCCCACAGTTCTGCCTCAGCAGGCCCCAGGGCTCCCTGAAGTCTGCATTTGTAAGGTACCCCCCACCCCACCCCCAGAAACTGATGGGAAGAAAAGTGGGTGCATCACACCAAGAGGCACATAGCACCTGGCTCCCCAGTGTGTCCCGAGAGCTGGGCCAGCCTCCTGCTGTGTTCAGCTCCCTCCTCGTTTTCTTTTTCCTTTTTACACAGTACTGGGGTTGGAGCCCAGGGGTGCTCTGCCCCTGAATCATATCCCAGCCCTTTTAAATTTTATTATGAGACAGGGTCTTGCTAAGTTGCCCAGGGTGGCCTTGAACTTGCCATCTTGGCTCCTCTGTTGCTGAGATTACCAACACGGATGTGCCACTGCGCCAGGCCTTTCTTCCAGCTCTTAGTCATTGGTCACCTCCCTCTGGGGAGGCTGGAAGGGTGGAAAGGGGCAGTTTTTTAGTTTTTGTTTTTTCTGAGGTGTTGGGAACCCAGGATTTTGTGCTGCTTGGCACTGAGCCCCTCCCCAGCCCTCAGAGTGCTCTTTAGCTGCCAGAGTCTGAGGAAAGGAGACCCTGACTCCCAGAAGACAGACCTGGGCAGGAACAGCTTCGGGGTGTGCGCTGAGCAGCTCTGTGGCCAGAGTGCACAGAGGCCACAGGTGGCTGCAGACGCCGGGTACCCCAGTCCTGCCTCCTTGGGGAGGACTGTTCCAAGACCCTAGGTGGCGTGTGTATAGAGCTTAAGTTGGGGTCTTTATTCCTGGGGCTGTAAATGGCCTCCCTAGAGCTCAGAGTAGTGTGACATTTGGCCTCGGCCAGTAGGGCTGCACTGGGCCTCCAGTCCCTCCTCAAGGGCCTCTAGCTCTAGGGTGCTTCAACTATTTGGGCCTCAGTTCTATTTTTATTTTTATTTTTTTTTTAAGAGAGAGAGAGAGAATTTTTTAATATTTATTTTTCAGTTTTCGGTGGACACAACATCTCTGTTGTATTTTTATGTGGTGCTGAGGATCGAACCCAGTGCCCCGCGCGTGCCAGGTGAGCACGCTACCGCTTGAGCCACATCCCCAGCCCAGTTCTATTTTTAAAAGTGTAGGGCTGGGGCTCTGGCTCAGCGGTAAAGCGCTCACCTAGCATGTGTAAGGCCCTGGATTTGACCCTCAGCACACATAAAAATCAATCGATAAATAGAGGTATTGTATTCAACTATAGCTAAAAAATAAGTATTAAAAATGTTTAAATAGGGGCTAGGGATACAGCTCAGCCGGTAGAGGGCCTGCCTCACACACACAAGGCCCTGGGTTCAGCACCCCATAAACAAGATTACATAGAGGGTCTACTTGCCCTGCAGCCAGGTAGCCCCTGTGACATGCACCTGGAGCCCCAGGTGCTGGTAGGCTCAAGCAGGAAGAAAGCTTGAGCCCAGTTCAAGGCCAGCCTGGGCAGCAGAGTGAGACCCCGTCTCAAAAATAAAAGGCAAAGAACAGCAGGCGTTGGCTCCTGTTTCCCTGGCCACTGCGATCAGTGCTGGTGATGGTGGTGGTCGGCCAGCTCCTGGCTGAGGGACTCGTGGTCCTTGGCCCTTGCTTGGGCCCCAGGGGCAGGGTGCTGGTTCCTCTGGACATTCTGGATCTGAAGAAAGTCTTGCTCGCCCCACCTGCTCTTCCCTGTGCGAGGAGAGCCAGTGCTGCAGGCGGTCTGGGGAGGTGGGCCTGTCTAGTCAGTGCTGGCGGCAGGAGGCCATAGGGCTGTGCTTTGGGCCAGCCGGCAGGGAGGCCAGGAAAGCACCTTGCACAACTGACCCCCTTGGGGCTGTCACTCTTCCAGGCAGATTTTTACAAAAGAGGAGTTCAGAAGTGTCTCGGAACGGCCTCCCAGTTGGGATGTGAAGCTGCCCCCGCTGGAGTGGGACCCTTGCTCACCGTCACTCATGTTGCCTGAGTGCTTGTTCTCCTTGGGCAAAAGCCAAGGGCTCGAGCTTCTCGGGGGTAGCAGCCCCTGCTCCATAGTCTGGGGCACTCCCACCAGCAGAGCTGGTCTAGCATAACGCAGATGGGGACTGCGAGGCCAGGCCCAGGGAGCAGAGTGCCCGAGACTGGAGACGGCAGCAGAGAGCGCAGGCCGGCTCAGATCAGGAAGTGGGAGCTTGTCGACCTCTCTCTTAACCCAAACTGGAAACCTTTTTTGGGGGAAGGTACCAGGGATTGAACTCCAGGGCATTCAACCACTGAGCCACACCCCAAGCCCTATTTTATATTTTAGAGACGGGTTCTTACCAAGTTGCTTAGCACCTCGCTTTTGCTGAGGAACTCACTGTCCTCCTGCCGCTGGGATTACAGGCATGTGCCTGGCTCAACCCAAAACAGAAACCATTTTTGTGCTAAGGCAGATAATGATGGTAGTTGTCAGCAATCTGACTTCAGCTCATTTAGAGAACCCCAGGATTTTCTTCAGCCACAGGTTCTCGGACAAACCATCAGGTTTAAAGAAGTTGTTGCCAGTTGCCGGGGGCCTTAGCGGGTGTGCACATGCAGGCAGGGAGGAGGGACTACTGGTGCCCACCACATACGTGGCATGTGGGCTCCTCTCCCTGCTGATGGTCTGTGTGCCCTGTCTGACCAGGTTGGAGCCGGGGATGTGGATGGCTTCCAGGCAGACACAGAGGAGGAGGAGGAGGAGGAGGAGGACGGCGACTGCATGATCATGGATATCCCGGATGTTGGGGGTGAGAAGGGTTCCGACCCTCTGCATCTCATTCAGATCGACAGGAAAGGGGAGAGCCATCCAGGCAGAGGGACGTGCAAAGGTTCTGCAGCGGGAATGGCTGAGCGGGAGGAGTGAGTGCAGGGTGAGGACAGGGGCTGAGACTGGCTGTCCGCCACTCTGAGTGAGGGGGGAGCTGGGACAGGGCCTGGGTGGGAAAGGACAGTATCTGACAGAGCAAGTGAGTGGGTCTACAGCTTTGGGGTGCCCCAGTGGTGACCTGAGCCTCCACTGGCTTCAGGGCTGTCCACCTCCTTCCACTGAAACAAGAAAAGGCTCCCAGAGCAGGGGTGGTGGCTCCTCACAGGGAGCCCCGTGGGTACAGCCAGCCACACACCCCTCCTTCTCACGCCCTGCAGAGGCCCAGGACCCGTGTGGAACCACTTCCGGAGCCGAGGAAGTAGTGAGAATGGACGTTAGCGAGAACCCACTGCCTGCCAGCCCACTCTGTGCCTCCTGAGCATCCCAACGGCCTGGCTGGCTGGGGCTTGTGTAGGGCGGTCAGGGGCCTCCATATGACGGATACTTGAGCGGACTACCGACTCCTGTGTACAGAGCACTTTGTCCTGCTTTGCAGACCTCCCGGGTCTGAAGGGTCTGTACAGGATGCCTGATTAGTTCTTGACGTTTGTAAAAATTGTCCCAAAAAGTTGCGTATTAATCTGCCTTTGAATAAAGCATTATGAGAGGCGATGACATGCAGGTGCGTGCCTGCCCCTCAAGCTCCAGAGCAGGGCCGGGGCTCGATGCTTGTAAACGAACTCAAGCACCAGAGGCACCCGTGGCCCAGCAGCGCGGGCACCTGGACTGTGTGGACGTGTATAAACTATTCTCTACCCTGAGCCGCCTCGTCTCCGTCAGTCAATATGTCCTTTCTGTGAGCAGGTCCGCCCGTCCTCCGCCCAGCATCTGAAAGCACCACCCATTCTGTTGGCCACTAAGTCCTTGTCCTCCTGGCTGACTAGTCCAGCACGTGCTTCTCCCAGTTCCTCTTCCTGCCCTTCAGGTGTGAGGAGGGGTCCCACTCCTCACCAGGGCCCTCGGGAGCCAGTGTTGTGCGTCCCAGAGCAGGGAGGGAAGGAGGAGCCCTGTGCTCAGGGCTGTGATGACTGACAGCAGTGGGGGAAGCCGAGGTCTGGACACTTCCTGTCCAAACCTAGACCCAGAGAGGGGCCTCCTGTTGTTCCTGCCCTTGGGTCTAGCCATGTCCCCACTAACCCCAAGAGGGACCAGCTGCATGCAGAGTGGCTTGGCACCGACTGGACAGCCCACACGAGGTGGCCATCCCCATCCTAGCCTGGCCAGTAGGCTGGGCTCATCCCCAGGTCTGGGCTGCAGGCCCTCCTGCTTCCAGCAGAGCCTGTCTACGTGGCTCTCAGGCAATGTTCCTGGAGTAAGCAGGGGACGTGGGTCAGAGTTGGCCTTGATCCTCAGAAACCCACATTGGGCAGCTCTAGAGGCTCAGGTGTGACAAAAAGTCATGGTGGGCTCCTGATTGTGGGAACTAGAAGGGGCATGTTTTTGCTAGTTTCTGTAAGGGACAGGGAAACTCATGTGGGGTCTCAAGCTTCAAGTCTGACTCATGCAGCCGGTAGTAGCCAGATGACCAGTCACCACAGGCCCCCACTGGAACAGGCTAGATGGTCACAGCCTGGTATCTGTGATAACCCACAGTGTCCGGGCTGGCCTGGGGTGGCGGGCCCACGGCTTCAGTGCTGCCTGGCTGCAGAGATGGTGCCCATGTGTCAGCCACAGGACCAGGGCCTTCAACACTAAGGCCTTGTCCAGTCTCCTGTGACTGCTGTAGCACATCATCACACCTGGTGGCTTAAAACAGCACAGATTCATCGTCTCACAGTTGTCAAGGCTACAGTGGCACATGGTTCCCGAGGTGGACCCAGGAACGGCAGGGCTGGGCCTGAGGAGGCCCTGCAGCCCCCCAGTCTGACCCTCTGATCTCCTCCCATGAAGACCCTGGTGACACTGGGCCCCACACAACCCAGGGTGACCCCCCCTGCATTCTACTGAAAGGGAATAGACACAAGTTGGGGGAGGTGGAGGTTTGGGGGAATAATGTAGTCCCAGTATGTCCCCCAAGGCTCCTCCTGTGGGATCTTGGTCCTCAGGGTGGCCACGTGGAAAGGGACCTTCAAGAGGTGGAGCCTCGGGTGGGAGGTGGAAAGAAATTGACCAAATTATGCTATGTACATATTTGAGTGTGCCACAGTGACCACCTTTGTGTATATCTATAAAGCATTAATATAAAGATCTATAAATAGAAGAGGACGGGAGGAGGGAAAAGGGAAGTGCTGGGGACCCAAGTGGAGCAGATCACAGTCTGATCATGTGAAAGTGAACCCCAATATTCTGTGTAACTGCAATATGCTAATAAAAACATCTTTTAAAAAGTGGTGGGCCTCCTGAGAGGTTGAGATCACTGGGGCAGCTGCCCTTCGGAGACGGATGTGGTTCTTGGGACCCTGCAAGGGGTGTGCCTGCAAAGGAGAAAAGGGCAGGCCTGGCCCTTGCCCACACTTGTCCTCCTGGGTCACACATGATCTCCGCCTCACGTGTTCTCCCACCACACCCTGCACCCCGTGAGGCAGCCGCAGGCCCTCACCAGAGCCAGGTCACGCAGGCACCATGCCCTTCTCCCTCTAAAACCGTGAGCTCAGAAAACCTTGTCTTCACACTTAGTACTGAGTCTTGGATGTTCTGTTATAGCAACAAGCTAGTTGAACACACCCCTCCCAGGGCTAGGGGATCCCAAAGGGGCCCTGGGCCTCAGGTACTTGGCCCAGGGTCCCCTAAATAAAGCTTGCTCACTGAGGTTCTGTGAGCAGTTAGGGACAATCGGACATGAAAGCTTGGCCTTTGGCATGTGGGGACCCCTGGCGGGACAGCCAGCAGCCCTGAGAGCATGAGCCATGCTGAGCCCTCTGCAGTGGGGAGCGCAGCAGAGGTGACCCTTGCCCTAAGTCCAGTGGTTCACATTAACCACCAGGAAACTATTTTCAAATATTCTATTTATTTAGGTTCATAATTTAGAAATTACATGTCAACTATGCTGTTAGGCTAGCATCTCTCCTGCCACTGTCACCAGCTTAGTGCCAGATGGGTCCACCCCCATACACAGCACATGGAGCCTGTCTGTGCTCAAGCTCTGCCCAGGGAGACACATCTGCCTGCCCGAGGGGCTCTGCAAAACGGTGGTCAGAGGTGCTGCCGCCAAGGCGGGCACAGGCCTCCAGCCAGCCGAGTAGGGCTGGGGGCCAGGCCCAGTGTTTCCAGAGGTGGCTGGGTGGCCCTGGATTGGGACGGGGGACAGGGAGAGGATGAGACAGACCCGTGGGCCGAGGCCAACCCTGCCTTTATTTCAGGAGAGCTTCTCTATGGCCGCCAGGAGCTCGGGTTTCAGGATGGAGGAGTTTGGCTCAGCCCCCGCAGCCTTGATGTCCTCTAGCACAGCGGCATCCCAGGAGAAGGTCAGGAGGGCTGAGGGCACCTGTGGGAGGACAGTGGGATCCAGATCGTCCCCTGATGGGCGAGTTGGCCAGGAGATGCCCCCACCTGGCTAAAGCCATCAGAACCAGGCAGAGCCCCAGGTTCTCACCCAGGCCCTCACCTCCCTTCCGGGCAGCAGACCTGCACCTGCCCCGCGGGCATCCTCCCTGGGAAATCCACCCCCCCCTTCATTCCACCTTAGTTCTGCTCCTCAGAGGACCCACCAGGCCCATATTTCAAGAGGCAGCAAGAAATTAGGAACTGTTCAAGATAACAGCAAGGTCAAGGTCACAGCGCCAGAGGGAAGGTGGGATTCTAACACAGGAACCAGGCCTGGAGCCATCCTAAGTCCTGCCCTGTGAGCACCACAGACCACAGGGAGGGTTTGGTGACAAAGTGATTGCCACACAGCAATCAGCTTCCCAGGATGTCTCCTGGTCCTCCTTGGTGAACCCCTGGGGGTCCTAACTGCATCACCAGCACTGGCCCCCCGCTCACCAGCCCACACTCGTTCAAGGCCAGGTTCTCTTCCTCCAGCAGCTTCTGCCCTCCCGAGGCCAGCAGCTCAAAAGGCAGCCAGTCGTTCTGCAAGGCCTCCCTGACGAACTCGTACAGTGATGACAGCCGCTCCCGGGCGTAGAAGGTCCCTGGGAAGCAGGACAGTCAGATCCAGCCACTAGGCTGGCCCTCTCCTGTGCCCACTCCTGTGCCCCTAAGCCCAACCACCAGCAGAGAGGAGCTGGGCAGAGCGCAGCTCAGGGCCTTGGCCCTACAAGACCTGAGGGCCCAGTAGCAAGAGTGAGCCCTGCCCTGGCCCCTGGGCCCACCCTGCAGGAGGCAGCCGTCAGGGAGCCGGATGCGCAGCAGCGTGTAGGTGTACTTGCGCAGCTCCCTCTGCTCCTCCCTCTCCCGCATGGCCTTGGTCCGCAGCACGCTCAACCGCTCCACAGCATCAGCCCTGCAACCCACACCCAGAGAGTAGGGCTCAGGCAGCTGCCTGGGCCCCAAACCCAACCTGCCCGGGCCCCAGGTGTGCCTGCCCACCTGAGCCTCTGCTCCCGCTTGATCTCCTCTGCCGTGAGGTTGAAGAAGTCCCCAGGAAGGTCAAACTGGGAAGCCAGGGGTGAGGGCCGGAAGACACGGCGCTGCCGGTCCAGTTTGGCCCGCACGGGCTCTGCACCCAGCAGCTGCTCCTTATGCCGCTCCAGGCTCTGGGGCTGCGCCAGCGCGCCCTCACTCAACACGTAGAACTCCTCCAGGTCCTCTGTGCCACCCCCACACAGATGACACTGCAGCAGGGCCACCCAAGCCGGTGGCCCCTCAGCCCCTCACCCCCACCTGAGGCTCAGCCCAGGCCCTTCCTCTAGCCTCACCCTGATCCGGGACAGGCAGTAGCATCCTCTGGAACCCAATGGCCTCAAAAAACTCGTGGGTCCCTTCCAGGCAGTTAATGCGCTCCTAGGAGTGCAGCAGAGGTCACACAGGGCCTCCTCAGCCACAAGCCCAGTGACCCCTGATGGCGACCAAACCCTGAAGCTGTGGCAGAGCTGAGCACAAACTCACTTTCCTAAGGAGAACCTTGGAGCTCCCCCAGCACCTCCCGGAGGACACAGTTCCCCTAAAGGCCAACCACCAGGGGCAGGAGGCAGACCCCAAGGACTGCTGGGGAATCCCCAAAGCAGGGGAGGACACAGCTTCTGCTCAGAACACAGGCCGGGGTCACCAGACCCGCTGTTGCTGCAGAAGAACCTCACGTGTGCCTTCCCAGTGTAAGGGTCAGACTATTCCAGGCAGGGAGCCGCCCACCAAGCCCATCCACGGCATGTGACTTCGGTCACCTTACTGCCACCTTCTGCTGGCCACTTCAAGGATGCCCCCCCCCACTCCCCGTGCTGGCCATCCCACCATGGCTGGGGCCGGCTGTGCTGGCTGAACTGCGGCCCTCACCTGGAACACCTTGTTCTGCAGCTTGATCTTCCGGTACTTCTCCTCTTCAGGATGCAGGTGGATGTTGTCCAGGTACCTGAGAAGAGGACGAGGGAATGGGACACAGGGTCCCTGGCTCCTTGACACTTCCAGCACCAGGGGACAACAGCTAAGAGTCACAAGCAGCATCAGCAGCAGCAAGAAGAAAGGAGGGCCCAGTGGGACCTGGCGCTGCACCTTGGGGTTGGAATCACAGGTACCCTCACAGCCAACCAGAGGGGCTGTCACTATGCCTGGCCTCTCAGTCCTATCTGCCAAGGACACAGATTAACCACAGAGATCAGACAATAGACAGAGACGGTAACCAACCCCTGCGCAAAGGGACGGCAGGGCTGGGGGTTCTGTGGGCGGTGCCCTGGCAGCTATACTCATGGGCACTTCTGGATCCAGCCGATCTGCCTGACCAGCTGCTGGAGTGAGCTGGTTCCCATTCTCCTTATACACTCCTCAGATAACCCCAAGGGAAACCAGGGTGGTGAGCCCCCAGTTCCCTGGACCCTTTTGGTGCAGACAGGTAAACCAGGCCCGACCCCTTCCCAGAGGCTTCAGGTGGCCTGGCCTCCCTCCCAGGCTCTGCTCCCTCGTGGCCCCAGCGAGTCCCCAGAGCCAGAGGGATCGGCCCCACTGGGAGCGGCTTGGGTGCCGGCTGCACTCACTTGGCGATGGTGTCCACGCCCAGCTTCACCCTGTCCCGGTCTCTGTTGAACGTGTGGATCTTCATGATGGAGGCGGCCACAGGGTCTGTGGAGAAGTGCTGCAGGGGACATGGCATGCTGAGAGCCACTCCTGGTACTACACTGCACAGCCGGCCACAGAGGAGTGGCCAGAGTGGTGCCACTGGCTCTCTTGGGGCAGAGCAGGGACATCCGCCATCCAACTACACACTCAGCACAGAGTTGAGGAGAAAGACCCCAGCGGTCAGTCCTGCCTCACGCACTCTCATCTCCAGGCAGAGGGCAATGGCCACCAAAGCAGGAGAGAAACAGCTGCCCTCTCTGTGACCTTGGTGGTCAGTGTGGCCTAAAAGTGACATATCTCTACCTCTCACCCTGGCATGGGAAACTCCAGCAGTGGGCCCTGCGATCCTGGCACACGACGCCCAGCCCTGCTGGTCCTCACCCCCGCAGACGGAGAACTGCAAATCTTCACCCAGGGGCACACAGGTGTCGGTAACAGAGAGGATGCACAGGAGTGCCCCAAACCTGGACAGAGCCAGGTGGCAAGATGGCCAGAATGGGCTACTCCCAGGGCCTACCTATAGGTCCAGGAAAGCATGTGCTCTCCTTTTGCACGACCATGGAACAAGCCACACACATGCTCCCCTGCAGCCAGCAAGTCCTGGTGAACTGGGAGGAGCAGAGGACAGAGGGGTGGACAGCAGCCCAGCAAGAGCCCACCAGCTTGCCGAAAGCTCCTGGAAGGTGGGTTTGGGCCTTGTCCTCCCAGCACCCTCCCTCAGCTACATGGGGGGCCCTGGGCAGCTGCATCAGAAGCACACAGACGTCGGCTCCCAAATGAGCCAGTTCCCCGCCAGCCTGATTGGGACCCGGCCCACCTGCTGGTTTCATTGCCAGGGAGTGGGGGACAGAGAAAGTAGGTCTGCCAGAGGTGGCAGTGAGGCGGTCAGGAAGGAACCCAGACTCTGTGTGGCAAACCTCACATGCGCGAGCAGTGCTCTCCAGGAAAACTGCCTCACGCTCATCCCTCCCCGCAGGTGGACTCCAGCTGTGTGAGAGCTTCCAACAGTGCAGCACACCACCCAGGCAAGACAAGGAGAGGCAAACAGAAAAATGCTAGAAAAACCACAGGATTATTATTTTAGGAGGGGGCTAAGAACGGCTTCCTAAGTATGACCCCAAACTAAAAGCCATAAAGTAAGACTGACACCTTCAGTTACAGTGATCAAAATCTCTCCCGGGCAGTGACTTAAGTCCAGTCAAAACGTAAACAATTGAGGGAAAATATTTGCAACCCACCCACGTCATAGTCGAAGTCTAGTTTCACTGACAAACAGTGCTACAAACCAAGAGCCACCCTTCCAAGAGGACAGCCAGCCTAACCTTAAATGAGGGAGGCTCAGGGGAAGTCTATCGCGTGGTGTCGCTTTGGCTACAATTTGAACAAAGACCAGGAAGCCTGGTGAGGGACAGGGCTCTCCCTCACCACTGGAGGGAGCCTGAGCAGGATGCCCCTAGGAGAGTCCCCCCAGTACAATGTAGTGGCCTGTGTCCCAAGCTCCACCTTGTGACTGTGGCCAAGGCCCCTCACTGCCTGTTTTCATACCCAAAACCAGAATCGCCTGACACAAGCTGCTGAATAAGTCCCGGAAGAGCAGGAAGAGCCCATGTGTGGCACTGGGCAGAGCAGTGTGAGGGGACCAAAGGTGCTGGGCTCCTCACTGGAACAGGATGCCTTCCACGCTTCCATGATCAGGTCAGAATGGACTCTACTGTCATTTTGTTTTTGTTTTTTTGCGCTTTGGTACCGGGGACTGAACTCGGGGATTGAACTCCGGGCCCTCGACCACTGAGCCGAATCCCCAGCCCTATTTTGTATTCTATTTAGAGACAAGTCTCATTGAATTGCTTAGGGTCTTGAGGTTGCTGAGGCTGGCTTTGAACTCATGATCCTCCAGCCTCAGCCTCCCAAGCAGCTGGGACTACAGGCATGTGCTACCATGCCCGGCTCTACTGTCATGTTTAACTAAAAAGAACCAATAATTTTTTTGAAAAAAAGAGCACGCAGGTGGCACAGAGTAGCTGGGAGGCTGACAGCAGGATCAGGAGTTCAAAGCCAGCCTCAGCAACTTAGTGAGACCCTAAGCAACTCAGGGAGACCCTGTCTCTAAATAAAAAATATAAAGGGCGTCAAAGGGAGACTTGGAGGCTCTGGACTCAGCGGCAGTCGGGATCCAAGCGACCCAGCTCCGGCGACCCAGCTCCGGCGCGAGGTCCGCACCTCTAATCCGGGTCTGCCACGCGCGCACCGCCCCCATGACCACTCTCACGTGACCCAGCACGTGTCCGCAGGGGAGAGGTCCGACTCCCAGAGCCCGGCCCCGGTGCTCGCCACGGGCTCCCGCTCCTCCTCCCGCTGCTCGCCACCGCCGCAGCGTGAATGCCAAGTATCAGCTTCCCTGTCCCTTGCAGGTTTCCACTCGGCCCTCAGGCTGCATCCTGCGGGAGCGGAGAAACTTTGGGCCCGAGTTGCCCGCCATCAGTACCGTGAAGGCAGCAGAGGAAGGCGTCTCCTCCAATCTAGCGAACTTGGCGGTGGCTGGGCCAGCCTCGCCCGGATCCTGGCTGGGGAAACAGTTCAGATGCGAGCGATTTGGGAACCAGGCGAGGTAGGGCTGTCAACCACAAAGGACACTTTGTGATGAGTGAGGTTTCTGTGGCGATGAGGGATGGCCGGGTTTACTCTCGAGGGCGGCAAGGCCGCCTTTGGAGGTGAAGAGGAGCCCCACAACATGAGGTTTGGGGTTCTGCGCCTTTTCCGCCCAGGCTCATAGGCACCTCTTCCTGAATGCCCTGCTGGGTCAACTGGCCCTAGGTGGCCGAGGCCCCTGGGCGCCTCTAGGCGTGGTCACGGTTGTGGTCAAATGTCCATCTCTAACTCAAGCCATTCTGCATCGTTTAGACAAGATAATTTCGACTAGAAAAAGCTTTGGGAAAGGTTGAAAAGGGGCCGACAGGGTTCAAGCTGCTGCTTCCTGGTAAAGGTACCTCAGTGCCGGACCTGACCTGTAGATGGCCAGTGCAGATGATAGGGCTCCAGACCTTCAAGCCCCTTGTCCCCTTGAAAGACCCATCACAATAACAAAATCCCCCAGTGAGCTCCCGCAGGTGTTTTTAAAAACAACCTGGAGAGGGATGATTGGCTGCTAGGAGGGATTAGGATGGCCCCATAACATGGAAACTGGGAGACACCTCTCCAAATTTCTTATCAGCTCTGAAGTATGTTACTTAAAATCACTGGAAGAAAGCTAGCAAACCTGCCGATGCTGCTGCGTTCTCACACTTTTTAAGGGCAGACGTCCTCCTGACGAGCACTTAAAGGAAATGCTAGTTTCCTGCATGGTTCTAATAAATGTTTCAGGCCCTCACACTGGAACTGCAGCTCCCATAGACTTCCAGCCTTGGAGACCTTGCTTATCTTAAAGATGAGCTCAAGAACTTACATTCAACACAAGAGGATCATTATTTCCAGTGCCCTGATGTCCCATGTAGGAAGCATCTTGTGAAATTGGATAAGACACTGCTTATGTTTCTTAAAATTTCATTTCTAGGGGCTGGGGATGTGGCTCAAGCAGTAGCGGGCTCGCCTGGCATGCGTGCAGCCCGGGTTCGATCCTCAGCACCACATACAAACAAAGATGTTGTATCTGCCGAAAACTAAGAAATAAATATTTAAAAAAAAAAAAAATTTCATTTCTAGCTTGAATGTTGAACTACCAGGCAGTGTTTTAATGCTTACACAATGAGCTCTTGCTATGAAGTGTGGGGTTTGAATTTTGAGCCCCTGGACACTTACTTCTGCACATATTTGTCACTGCTTTAAAAAAAAAAAAAAAAAAGATCTAAGTTAAAAATAAAAATAAAAATAAAATGAAATAAAAGAGCATGTAGAACTTTCCCACAGACAGCTCAGGAAAAGATGAGGGTAGGTGAAGAAAGTGGAGCACAAATCTCATTAACACCTGGCAAATGGGGGGGGGCAGCAGATTAATGCCCCCCCCCCCCCCCCCGTACACAAAGACGCCTGCATCCTAATCCCTGCGACCATGAGGAAGGGAAGCCTCATGGGAAAGGAGAATTAAGCAGCAGAGGGAACGAGGGTGTGCTGGATCATCCAGGAAGGTCCAGGTAACCAGAGGGGCCAGAATAGGGAGAGAAGCAGAGCTGGCAGCTTGGAAAACACCTGGCCTGGCACCGCTGGCTCAGGAGGAGGCAGGGGCGGGAGCTGTGGGCACCTCCTGAGACTAGAGGAGGTGGGACCAGAATCTCCCTGGAGTCTCAGGAGAGACCCCCACTGCTGCACTTGAATCTGGCCCAGGGAAGCCTAGGGTCACAGTGTGAAGGATACAAATACAAAAGAATGGCCAGGACAGACACGCAGCTTGTCTAAGCCACCGGGTTTGCAGTGACTGGTTGTAACAGCTGGAAAACTCACACCCCGAGTGTCCTGGGGTGAGGTGTCCCTCCAAGCTCCAGTGCTAATGCAGGAAGGTTCAGAGGTGAAATGAGTGGACGGTGGGAGCTGGGACCAGCCAGTCCATCCTAGTTTGAATGGCCTGACATGTAGTCAGGAGTGTGGCCAGAGGAGTGGTCACTGAGAGGTGCCCAGCAGGGTGCATCTGCCCTGGGGTCCCTTCCCCTCTCTCTCTGCTTCCGGACCCTGCCAGGAGCGGAGCAGCTTTCCTCTGCACACCAGCACCATGATGCCTTGCCTCACCTCAGGCCAGTGTACCCGAGTCGGCCATCTATGGACTGAGACCTCTGAAACCATGACCACAATTAAACTTTCTCCTTTGTAAGTTGTTCTTATCAAACAGTTTGGTTACTGCAACAAAAAGCTACCCAAACAGCTGGGTAAAGAGTATTTAGGTGTCGTCTGTGTTCCTCGTGCATTTTTCTTCCATATAAAGAGCCACAAGGGGCTGTGGCTGGGGCTCAGCGGTAGAGCGCTTGTCCAGCATGCGTGAGGCACTGGGTTTGAGCCTCAGCACATGTAAAAATAAACAAATAAAAGTACTGTGTCCTCGGGGAGGAGGGGGCATGGAGATAAAAAGACAGTGGAACGAGACCGACATCATTTCTCTCAGTACAGGCATGAACACAGGAACGGTGTGAATATGTTGTGTGTACAACAGAGACATGAAAACTGTGCCCTGTACATGTACTAGGAACTGAAACGTATTCTGCTGTCACATGTAACAAATTACAATAAAAAATTATAAAAAAAAAAGCACCGCATCCATCTACAACTAAAAAAAAGAAAGAGCTACAAGGAAAAAAATATACCAAAGCAGTTCCTCCGCGAAGACTGCCTCCGAGTGTCTAAGGTAAGTGTGCACGGCCCGGCCCGCGGCCCTTTATGTGGAGCAGAATGTGGAGGAGAAGAGACGGACAGACGCCTCAGGGCATCTCAGAAAAGGACCTCAGCTACCTCCAGCAGCTGCCGGGAGGGGGGCCTGAGGGGTGGCAGCGCCCTCTGCTCTGCTCTGATGGCGTCCTTGGGTTCTGCCCTCTCTGGGGAAGGCATAACAGGCACGAAGGCAGGGCGAGGCCCACATGGAACTGGCTGCTGCTCTGGGATGAGGACACACAGGGGCTGCACTCACCGACAGAATAGCTTCTTTGATGTGGGCGTCCCGCTGGTCCCTCCTCAGAGTGGCCCCCGTGATTGGGCAGGTGAAGTACACGCCAGGCACCGCGAGGTGTGTCGAGCCTTCCTCTTTGGGCTCAGGTACCTGGGGGGTGAGAGCGCTGAGCAAAGACTGTGGACAGAGGCGGCCCCAGGACAGTACTGGCAAGCATGGCCCGTAGAGCCTGGCGCTCCTGGCCCCCACCGTCCCTTCCACTTGTCAGCTGAGGGCCGAGCCCTTCCTCCCAGGTTCCCTGGCCCATGCGCCATCCCCCCAGTTCCCAGGGCACTGACATAGAGCAACGCCAGCCGGGAGCAGCCGCTGCACTTCGCAGGCTTCCTGCGCCTGCAGCCACCCCCCAGCTACCGGGAGCGAGTGTGGGGCTGGGTTGGAGTCGGGGGGCTCAGCACCTCACATTCTAGGCCACGTCTAGGGTCTCTTCCATTCTAAAATCACGGCTTCCTGGCCAAGCTCTGCCGAGACTCCCAAAGGATCCCTCCTCCATGGAGCCCTCCAGGCCCAGGGACACAGGAGGGCTGTGCCAGACTGTGGCTTCTGAAAGCACACAGAGGTTCCAGTCCTGCCCCTCCTGGCCAAGGACAGCAGCCGTCACGTCTGGGAACCTCAGGAGCACTCTTGGCACCCTCGGGCGTCCACACCCACCTGCCTCTGTGGTTCGGGGCAGCACGGAGTGGAGATGACACCTCTTTTATGCCCCTGGCAGCAAGTCCTCCTGGCTCAAGCTCTGCCACAGCCCTCCCAGGGGTCCCCGCCGCCCGCCTTGGGGGCAATTACACAGCAAAAGCTTTACCTCCTTGGTCCCTGGAAGCTCAGGACCACCACTGACGGTCGCCTCAGCGCGTAGTTCCTTTCTCACTGGAGGAAGAAAACAAGCAGAGGAAGAGAGAAAAACGGGACAGACGTCGCCCTGCCCCAGGCCCGGTCCCCAGGGCCCCACCCGCACTAGGCCTGCCAGCCTGGCAAGCGCCCGCCCAGCCCGACGCTCTGGGTCAGGCTGTAGTCCTCTCTCTGGGCTTGGTCTTTGTGTACCCCCCACTCCCACCCCCACTTCCTGCATAGCTCAGCTGCCCTCCTTCCTCAAGGAGCACCTCTGTCACCCACCCGTGCCCCTGACACCAGGCCCAGTGCCTCCCTCCCACCTGGCACATCCCTCTTGACTTTAAAACACCCTGTTTACTGTTTCACCCAGAGTCAAGTGCTAGGTCCCCCACCTCAGCCCAGGATGACCACCACTCACCCTGGTTCCGAATAGAGTCCTGTGACGTGGGGCCCCGGGCCCTGGGCTGCTTCTGTTCCAGTCGGGCCAGGGCAGCTGCTGCTGCCATCTGTGCCTCGTCGGTGGGTCCCTGGCGGGGCTGCCTGAGGGCTGGCTGCTGGGGCTTTTCTCTGGGGGCCTTCTCCCTGGGCAGAGATAGGGCAGTAAATGGCCTCCCAGGGTGGCCAGGGAGGCTGACCCGGGGAAGTAGGGAGAGCACCTGCCCAGCCTCATTCCTGCCTCCTGAGCCCTCAAACAGACATGTGCCCATCTACACAGGATTGCCTTTCAACCTCCCAGGCCACCCAGGGCCCTGACAGTCCTGATACAGGTGGAGGAGCCTCTGAAGGCAGGAGACGCAGCTCTACTTGGAGCTCTGCCCCTTTGGGCAAGTGGTGCACCAGCTGGGCCTCAACATCCACACCTATAAAATGGACCCAAAGCATCCTCCCCTGCAGAAGCCACCCTGACGTTCCCAAGCACTGAAGAGGCTCATGGGGTCACGACCTTGCCTCCCTCCCTCCGTCCCTCATCACAGGCCTGCGGAGGGGCTGCCCTGCTGGATTTGGCTGGCCCTGCCCGTGTGCTCCCCGCAGGCTCTCCAGGAGTGCTTCTGGCCCCTCCTCACAAACCCTCCTGGGCTCACAGGAGCATGGGCAAGCTATCCCTGCCAGGGCTGACCACAAGGCCTGATCCCTGTCATCCTGGTGTCACTACTCCACACCCCGGATGGGCAATGGGTGGCTCCATGACCACTTAGCATAGAGGGTGCTGGCAGCGACTCCTCTGGGGCCTGCACTGATGCAACCGTCTCGCCTTCCCCTGGGACCCTCACCCGACCCCAGCAGTTCCCATCATCTGTGCTCTAGGTCCACAGAACCTTCTAGGAGCCTGGCGTAGTATTGGACCCTCACTCCTCTGCTCCATCAGACACTCAGCAGCCATCCTGTCCTGACACCTGGGGGTCTACCTCCTGCCCACCCCACCTCTCTCCATCGTCCCCACAGCTGAGGGTCTTGAGATGAAGAAAAGATGGCTCCCGCAAACCCGCCCGGCATCATCCACTGTCTAGACCTTTCCATGAAACAGCATTTCCACAGCATTGCCAGCCTGCAAGGACTCTAACTGGGCAACCAGAGGGACCCCCGAACCCAAGCCTGGCTCGCCATTCCCCTGCGCCAACCCCCTCATGGCTGCGTGACAAACTCAAGTGCCACCTTCACTTCCCTCCACTCGGGGCTCCCCTCTGGTCCTCCACAGGCGGCCCAGTGTGTTGCACTGAGGAGTCTTTGCACTTTTGTACCTTTGCCCAGAACACTCCACCTGGGGGTGGGATAAAACCAGGTCTGCAGAGGGTGCTGTTGAGGGGCCGAGAGCCACATACTGGGTCTTGCGGAGTCCCATTCTCAGCTCACATGCCACCTTCTCAGAGGGGCTTTCCTGGACCACCTGACAGCTGCCTCACTGCCCACCAACTACTTCTCTCTCCTCAGGGGCCTCAGCGCCACCTCCTTCTTGTGGCATATGTGCTGACTGTCCCACTGGAAGGCAGGCCCTAGAGCACGAGGCCCTACCTTTGCCCAAGCCTCCAACAGCCTGGATGCTGCTCTTAAGTCCCACTCCAGCAGGCCACATGTCACAGACACATGGACCTCCACAAGCTCTCTCCCTGACCCCCCTGAGTCCTCCTGGTTCCTCCGAAACCCCTAGACTGAGGTAGCCCCAAGCCCCCATGTCCCTCCCATCACACAGCCCCACCACTTGTTCACCATCTCCAGGTTTGCCACCCTCCTCCCTGCCTGGCGCAGGAACCCAAGGTGTTGGCTGCCTGGCCCTCATGGCCTGCCTTCTCCAAATCAGCACTGTACCCCTGAGATCCCAGGACACCCAATCCTCACGCAGGGCACCTTGGTGCCTCCCCTGCCCCTTCTTGCCTGCCTCTGGGCTCCTCCCCTACCTTCAACCCCTCCAGGATTCCTTCCACTATCCCCCACATACTGTGGCTGAGCTCATCGCCGCCTCCTGCAGCAGCCCTAGCCTTCCAGGCCCCATCTAATCAGCCCCACCCGCCCTCAGTCTCAGACAGGGACGCCTGATGCCACACCTGCTCCATTCCCACCCATGCCTCCCCAGGAGCCTCCAGTGGACAGACACTTCTCCCACCAGGCCTCCATCTCCTGGCACAAAGGCTCCCACCTCCCAGACCTCCTTTGGCCCCTCACAGCCACTCAGGTTAGGCCCTAGACAACAGCCTCAGGCTGGCTGGCCTTCCAGACTCTTCCTAGTACTCACTCCCCTTTCCTAGCACTGCAGAGCCAGAACCCAGGAGCCCTCTTCCCAAGTTGGGGAGGCTCAGCCTCACCGACACCCCAGGATCCCTGCAGTACTTGCTCCTCCAGGTTCAGCCCCAAATCTCAGGTCATTCCAGATATCTCCCAAGCCTCTCCTTTATTCCTCTAGGTCTCTGAACTTCCTCCGGCAACTGCAGCCCCAGACTCCCTCATCCTCCACCCGCCAGTACCTATTGGCCTCTTGCCCCGCCCCCAGATCTCACTCCAGCCCCTGCTCCCAAACTTCACCCACATTCCCCCAACCCCCTCCCATGCTCCGCCTCTCCTATACCACCCCCAGGTGCCCCCATCCTCCGCCCCTCCTGTGCCACCCCCAGGTGCCCCCATGCTCCGCCCCTCCTGTACCATCAGCAGCTGCCCCCATGCTGCACCCCTTGCCCCTCCCAGATCCTTCTTGATCTGTCTCCGCCCCTCCTGCCCCGCCCCCGCTCACCGCGCTCCGCCCCTTTCCCCGCCCCAGGCCCCATCCAGCTTCCACGCTCCGCCCTCGTGCCCCGCCCGCCCCCAAGTCCCCTCCCCGAGCTCCGCCTTTGACCCGCCCCTGGCCCCCTCTCGCTTCTCCCACGCTCCGCCCCTCCTGGCACGCCCCCGTCCCCCCACTGCTGCCGGAATCTCGCCGTTCGGCCTGCCCGGCCTCTCCCTGTCAGCCTCCCAGCCTCTGAGCTCAGACTCCTCACCACCCGTCCCGTCCCCGCCGGGCTTTAGCGCCCTGCAACCGTCACGCACCCCGCGGAGTCTGTGAGTTTCTGACCGGGCCCCGCGCTCTTGAACTTGATGTCGGCCTTGATCTCCTGGAAGAACTTCTTCATGGTGGCAGCAGGCCCGGCGGCAGGGGGCCGCGCGGGGCGGGGGGCGCAAGGCCCAGTCGGGGAGGAGCCGGCAGGAGCCAACAAGCGGAAAGAAAATACCGCGCTGCCGGAAGTCCCTCCCTCGAGCGGCCGCCCACGTGACAATCAGCCCGGCGCAACTCTCTAGCTCTCCGCACCTCGCTGGCCCGGGCCGGCCTCTCTGCACTCTGGGGCCACGTCTCGGTGGTTCTTCCGGAATCCGTTGCCGGGCGACGGAGCGCTTCCCGTGGCGTTCTCGAAGGGATGCCTGAGCTACCCGCCGCCTGACCCCGCCGAGGATGCGCTGGCTTTGTCCCTTGCCCTACTCAAGAACCTCCCCTGGCACCCAGCGCTTTCGTAACAAAGTCCAGTTCAACGGGAGGACATGCAGAGCCCCTCGGCCCTCCCGGGCTGGGGGCGCCTCGCCCCCGCTCGCCCATGTGGAGACGCGCGGGGGGACCTCGGCTGTGGCTTGCGGGCACCGGGGGAGACAAGCTCGTGGGGGCATGTGCTGCGCTGTGCGGGCTGCAAAGGAGACCCCCGGGGTGACGGCTAAAGCCGCCCTCCGCGAATTGTCCCCCAAGAAGACCGCGTGGCTGGAGAGCGAGCGCGGTCACCCGAGGCGCGGAGAGCGGTTGGACGGAGTCTGGCACTTTCCGTTGCCTCCCTAGGAAGTGGGCTCCAGTGGCGGGAGGGTCTGCAGCGTAGGCACCGGGCCAGCGGGCGAGAGAAAGCCACTTCCCTACGCGCCCGGAGCCCGGGAGGGCTGCTGCCTTAGTTTTGAGGGAGGTGGAGAGGAAAGGCACAAAGTGGGGATGGGAAAAGGCTATGGGGGAGCCCTGGAGCAGTTTGCAACATGAGTAAAGGGGTCGGCGCAGGAAAGGCTTTGGGGGGCTTGCTGAGGAAGGAGCCCGGGGTCTTGGGCGGTTTAAGCACACACTGTATGACTGAGCAACCCCCCAAAAGGACGTTTGTGTTAGCCCCCTGAAATAAGTAAGACTGGAGGCTACAAAAGAGAGATTCTTAGGAAGGAATGCCTAATAACTACCAAGTGAAACTGCCAAGTCAGAAGTTTTCAGTCAGTCTAAGGCCTACACATCTTCCTAACCTCCTACGCAGGTAGGACTGATATTTGCTAACATGGGGACTGGGGTGGTGGCTCAGTGTTAGAGCACTCACCCAACGCATGCGAGAGGTCCTGGGTTCCATCCTCAGCACCACAGAAACATAATAAAGGCATTGTGTCCAACTACACCTAAAAAATAAATATTTAGAAACTTGCTCACATGATTATCTAGCCCCAAGTACAGAAATAAAGGGTTCTCTACCAGACACAGAGGTCATACCAATAAAAAGGTTTTACAAGATCAGATGACATTAAGTACCTTAACAGCATCTTGAGAGGATGGACATCTGTGACATTAAAAGTTAACTGTTGTGTTTATATTCCTGATAACTCTGGGGATGTTAAAGATTTATATCCCCAAATAAGGGCCTTGTCCTCTCCAACCTTGTTATGGGGACAGCTTCTCAGGCCTCACACCTCCTGGCGAGAGATTCTGGGCTGCTCTCATTTAGCAGCAGGTCTTCTGGGCCTGAACAGCTCGCTGGGAAGTCCCTACTCATATGAGCCCTGGACACAAACGGGCTATGGAATTTGTTTCTCCAGTGGCTGCCCTGGGGTTATGGCAGGAATAACCGCCCCATTGCCTGTTGCCATCACTCTCCAATCAGCTGGTAGGGGACATTCAACAGGTAGCCAGTCCACACTAACCCTCCAGAATCAACTGGACTCCTTAGCCTCTGTGGTTCTCCAAAACCGCCATGGACTGGACCGACTAACAGCAGAGAAAGGCAGACTGTGTTTTACCTACAGGAGGAAAGCTGTTTTTGTGTCAATCTATCTGATATAGTCAAAGACAGGATACAACGACGCCAACCGGCCCTGGGACGTTGGAGACAACAGCTCTCCTCTCTCAGGGGATGGCAGCTAAGAACCCCCTTCTCCAGGGGCACTTCCTTTCCTGACCCCTTGCCTTGCCATAGGCCTTCTGCTAATGCTCGCCCCTTGCGTCCTTAGATTTGTTCAAGATCAGATTCAAAAAATCTCGAACCGAACCGTGAACCAGCTTCCGTCACAGGACTTTCAACCCCTCACCAACTGGACGTCCAGGGTCAGCATCACCTCCTGACCCTCACCACTGCCTCAATGACACCCTGCGCCCCTGACAAGCGTCCAGATTCCGCCCCTTCCCAGCAGGAAAAAGATTGGTTTACGCCCCTGTCCCTTAAGGGGCCCCATAACAAACAAAAAAAAGGGAGGAATACAGGGTCTTGACTTAACATCTGAGCAGCCACCTTATAAGTTTCCCTTTCCTGTACTTCCTTTTACTCAACCCCCCCCATTAGTGACCTACCCCAGGTACCATAACCCTAAGCCAATTGCAGAAGGACATGACCCCTTGACTCTGGAGAGCCCCAGGTGCCATCCACCGAAACCAATCCCATGCTATTCCCACCGCCCAGCTCTAAGGTCCCCAGCCTGTCCCACAGAGCCACAGCTGCAGCTCCAAAGCCCGACCTCACAAAAGCTGAACCCCGAATATCTCGGGGCCTCTCTCCTCTTAGAGGGATGGCCTTTATTTGTCAGCTCTGACAAATAAACTCTCCTGTGTAATCTCTGCCTGGTCTCCGCCCTTCATGCCTCAATTTCCTTTTAGACATCACCTGGGCACTGTGGGGGAAGGGCCCTCCGCCACCTGATGATCCAAAACCAAGGAAGTAACTCCCAAGGAGTAACACTCGGGCTCCCCAGCCTAACTGTGGCCATCCTGAGGCTCTGGGAAAGTGAAAGGCCTCATCCCTGTCACCATCCACCTTTGCCGCAGTCTGGCTGGGCACAAATAACCGGGAGGTCACGAGCCACTTGTAGGTTCAAAACAGGAACTACTTTATTGCCAGAACCCCACGGGAACTCAACAGGAACTCGCGAGAATTCAAAAGCAGCGGGCACCCGAGGTAGCAGGAGCCGCCTTATTGCCGGACAGCAGAGGTTTATATACACAACTGAATACCAGCTTGTTTCAATTTAGCATCATCCAGTTACAGCAATCAGTCATCATCCCAATAATTATACACAGCTCAACTCAACCATCATCATCTTAATGGCTTACTGGCGCTACCCCTCAACCACTCCTTCTGGCAAAATGCCAGGCGCCATCTTGACTTGGTTGTGCTCTCAACACACCTTCCCCTCTCTGCCTCAGTTATCTGGAATTTTTAATATTTATTTTTAGTTCTCGGCAGACACAACATCTTTGTTTGTATGTGGTGCTGAGGATCGAACCCGGGCCACAGGCATGCCAGGCGAGCGCGCTACCGCTTGAGCCACATCCCCAGCCCCAGTTATCTGGAATTTTTTAAAAATTTGAGATGGGGTCTTGCTAGTCCCAGGCTAGTGTCAAATTTGAGGGGCCAAGCAGTCCCCCTGCCTCAGCCTCTCCAGAAGCTGGGACTGCAGTTGTGTGGCCCTGGGTCCAGCTTTTCCTGGAATTGCTGAAACTCACCTGGAGGACCCGCCCGGCAGACTCCTCTGGTGGCAGGGACCTCATTTGTCTAACTCAGTCCTCTTCTTCCAGAAAGCCCCCTGGCTACCTTCCTGATGTGGCTGACCTTCTGTGTCAGCCTGTGTTCTGTTACTTCAGTGAAATACCAGAGGCTGGGCACTTCATAAAGAAGAGAGGTTTATTTACCTCACAATTGTAGAGGCTGAAAGTTCTACAAGAACTACCTAATCTTGACAGGGCCTGCCCCCATGACCTAATCACCCCACCTCTAAAGGTCTACCCCCTGTCTTCACCCTATGAGGATCAAGCCTCCAATACACAGCCACGGGGACACAAACACCCACACCATGACACCTCCCCATTGTAATCACCATTGGTGACAATTCCTGGGTGCTCACAACAGGTCAGGTACTTTCCCAAGGGCTGGACTCATTTTCTGTGCCTCCTGCTTACAGGTAAGTCAGGAGAGCCCGCCCAGGCCGCAGGGCTCTTCAGCCAGAGAACATGAGGACATCAACTCTCCAGAGTCTGCCCTCTGGAACCCTGAGATCAGAGATGATGCCCCGCCCCCAAGGTGTCCAGGACCTAATCTGTGAATATGCTACCATTTGTGACAAAAGAGATTCTGCAGGTGGGATGATGAAGGAGACAGAGACAGGGTTGCCCTGCGTCCTCAGGGGAGGGAGTCAGGGAGAGTGCAAGGTGCTGGTCTGCTAGCTGAGGAGGTGGGGCAAGAGGCTGGAAGAGGCCAGGTGGGGACTCCCCTGGAGCCTACAGGAGGAGCACAATCTTGCCAGCACCTTGGTTTTAGCCTCAGAGGATTCATTTCGGAATTCTGACCCCCAGAGTGATAAGGATGAATGGGCTAGTTGGAGCAATTCGGATTGTGGTGATTTGCATGAGCACAGTAAGGTGGTCGCCATCTCCGGCCAGGCAACCCTGGGAAATAAGGCCTGCCAGCTCTCAGCGCACAGGGACGCTGCAGGGACTCAAAGGCTGCCTCCAGGCCTCCACAGTGTGCCAGGGCCGGATTCACGCCCAGCACCGAGGGCTCTCTGACCTGCTCCAGTGAGGCCTCCCTGATGGTGGTGAACACAGAAGTGCAGGTGCGGAAGCTGCTGGTCTCAAGGAGGCTGAGAGTCCACATTCCCAACAAGCCCTCTACCAGATGCAGAAGTTGGTCCACATACGATGGACAGGTCAGGGCGCTGCCTGGTGCTTCCGCAGCACCAACCAGGTCCACAATAGATGAGGATGTAGGCCTTGAGGCTCAAGTAGGGAGAAGCTCTGGCGCGAATGCAGTGGGCCCCTCCAGGGTTCCATCCCCAGGTGCTCTTCCCAGTTTCCCCACCCAGACAGCAGGAATGGAAAATAACAGGTGACCCGGGAGCAAACCACCTTAGATTCATAGCATACAGGGTCTGGCACACAGTGACTGCTTAATAAGTGTGTGTTGTTACCCCGGGGGGGCGCGGTATCCACCAAGCATTTCTTAGCTAAAGGTCTGGAGGTTTATGTCTCAGTA